TTACTACAGCAAAGGTGGGACAAACTCCTATTAGTACCCTTGATTTCAGAAGAAATGCCAAATGAGTACAAATGTTTGGAAATATAGTGAATAACATCATAGACTACAATTAAACAAATTCTTTAGACCAGTATTTGGTGGAGTGAAATGTTGGCATATAATGTGCCTTTCTTACACATGTACATACCCTCTTGAAAGTAAACTTTCCTGAAATAGTTGGAATAGCCTGGTACAGATTCTTTACAGTATGTGAAGGTTCCCTACATTTCAAAAAAGTTCTTTGTGCTCATTTAAAAAAGTGATTTTGCAACGAAGCCGGACCCACATGTAGAAGTACTGTTTGCACTGCTGACCATTTTTTTTGCAAACTGAAATGAGAAAAAAAATCATAAGCTTTCAGTCCACTTTTACTCGATATTATTTTTCTGTTTCAATGAAAAAATGCAATAGCATACCATGATAAAAGAATGAACCACGCATGGGTCTACTCTGGTAAGTGTGGATGCGAAAAATAATCAAATCATGAGGACATGTATTTGTCCCTTATCTAGATGTGATCCATTCAGCTTTTACCTTCAGTGAACTCAGTAATACTTTATTGAAATAACCATGTCAGGATGTTGTTCAGTAATATGATAGTGTTATGTTACCATTACCAGTAATTGTCATGACAGATGTTAGAATGTTTGAAATTATTACAGCTTGTGTTACATGCTCATTTTTGTAAAGTGTGCTCTAGGTAGTGTGTTTTTGTGACAAACAGCAAAAAACATGCACAAAACTTTGAGCCACTCACACAACACTCACTGGCCACACTTCAAATGCGTGTGACCACACTGGTTAAAGGCCGCACCGATAACACAAGTTTGATAGTGTCAGTGTTGTAGTGCAGAAATGGCATGGCCACCACTTCAGATTTGCTATTATAAAAAAAAAATGTGTGTGTGTGTATATATATATATATATGTACAGATTTTCTAAGAGAAAATAAGTTAACACATCTAGTACAGAGAACACAATTAACCCCTTAAAACCCATCAGTAGGCCTAAAGTTTTATTACACATTTCTATAATCTAAGAATAGCTCAACTAGTTTGCAATTTAGTCCATAGAATTACTGAATAACAAGCGTTAGTATGTAATAAGCCTAGGATTTTAAGGGGTTAAATAGGTCATTTTATAAAATGTGCACAGGCCACATTTTATGAGTTGCATGATATACCTAATTGTGCATTAAAATGTACAGAATTGTGCTCTCTGTTGAGGATGTGTAACTTATTTTCACTTAGAAAATCAAGAAAACATAGCAGCTTCCTCTTGACCCAATCATCCCCACAGTGTGACCCACCAGTGGGTTGTTTGAAAACCCCATGCTATTATGAACCATTCTAGTGAGGTTCCTCAGGGAACCAAAAGTGGTTCTACTGTGAAATCCCTCCAAAGAACCACTGTTGGCAGAGTGTAGCTGTGCTTATTGCACTACCATATGCTGTGTTGAACACCTTAAATTACCTGGTGGCTTTCCCAAATGGCACTAAAAGCATGCCAATTCCTGCTAAGGGACATAAAGAAATGGAGGGGTTTAAAGCAGGTGGCGTGTAAGCCGTGAACAAAAAGCAATGAGCCCTTTCCAACATTATTTCCACAGAGAGGAGCTTCCACACAGCAGGAATTCTGTCTCACGCTGTTAACCTCACCATTCTATAATTGACAACAATGAGAAGCTCTGATCTACTATTAGGTTTGTGAGGTGACACTGCATTTTCATACATTGTCATGCATGTGAAATCATCTACTGATGTAGAAAACAGACACCTGGCAGATGGTGCATAATATATGGCAAGCTTAAAATAAGGTAATTCATATTCATTGACTTTATTGCCTTGTGCCTGAAGAAACACCTAACAAGACCAAGAGCAACAGTTAAAACTGGAATGGTTTGGGAGAGATCATGAGCTTCAAAGTTCATCTAATCAGATATGACTCTCTAAAACTTCCTGTTAGCAAAAAAGTTCACAGCAAAACAAATTGGATATTCAAATACATATTTGCTTCGATATCAGTTGTTCAGTTTTTTGGGGTAGGAGAAAATGAAAATAAAAAAATCTCATCACATGAACACTATACACAAAGTGCAGGCTCCTGTATCACATTCTGAGAGATGCAAATGAGCAGACGTTTGGCCTTTGTTGTTAGGAAGGAATTGTTGAAGTTCAACCCACTGGAAACAGAGAGTACCTCCTTCAGCATCTGTTACCCCCAGATAGAGAGTCCAAATAGAATTTCAGAGCAGAAATATTCTGGCACATGCACCCTGCTAAGATTGCTAAATCTCTATCTGAAATAGGATCTCCTTCTCAGATTCTTTTGACTATGCAGGCATGACTGAGCTTTTCTGCAAACACTAGTCTCTATTACATGGCTTTACAAATCTAAGCATGTAAATCCCTCTTGTAAATGTAATATAGCGATTGCTTTCTTGCTTTTTATCTCCACTGGATTTTCCAAGAGATTTACATGATCCCGTGCCAGGTAGTTTGGCCACCCCAAAACCAATGTGGCAGGCTTACGGCAGATGGTGCACACTGAAACGCAAGCGCAAAATACGCTGATAGGCTTAATTAGGATTGTATTCATTGATTTTATTGCTCTGTGCCTGAAAATAACACCCATTCCACAGTGAGTTCAACACAGAATTCCTCCCACCAAGATCTGGTCTAAAACTGGACGTTATTTAAAGCTTCTGAAATGCATAATTTTCCCTTTATGCATCACTAGAGCATGAATAGACATCATTCACTTTAGTACAGAATACCTTTATTAAGGTAAAGAGTAAAAATACAGTTGGAGTAAAACCAGAGATCCTCTTATTACCTATATGTATAAGTAAGAGTAAAGATATTTCAAGAAAAATGTGCATGATTTAAAGGCTCAATATGATTAAGTATCAACATTAAAACTTAATTAGGTATAAAAATTCTTCGGCTTTTTGTTCTTGTTCAATGTACAGTGTACACTTTACTTGTACAATGCTATGTTATATGAGAATTCTGCCTCATAAACTTTTGTTGAATGCCTAATTAAAATGGTCATTTTTATAAAAAAAAAAAATCAAAAAATATACAGTATCTTATAGAATAGAGGCTGCGGAGCATGAAAAGAGTGTTACATCTAAAGAAAATTATAACTTAATTGCCTTTCAATAAACCTGCCAAAGTAGAAATAGAGACCACCAAAACTCCAATACATACTATACATTGTGATGGAATACAAGTACAATACTTGTATTCCAAATAAATACATATTCAGAAAATACATATTCAGAATACCCGCGACCCAGAAGGATAAGCGGATTAGAAAATGTGTGTGTGTGTGTGTGTGTGTGTGTGTGTGTGTGTGTGTGTGTGTGTATTCAGAATGCAAAAAAATATTTGCATTCAGTCTGTATTTAGTCTGGCGGCACGCTGGCGCAGTGGGTAGCGCTGTTGCCTCACAGCAAGAATGGCCTGGGTTCGATTCCCGGCCGGGCGACCAGGGTCCTTTCTGTGTGGAGTTTGCCTGTTCTCCCTGTGTCTGTGTGGGTTTCCTCCCACAGTCCAAAGATATGCAGTCAGGCCGATTGGACATGCTAAAATCGCCCCTAGGTGTGAATGTGTGTGTCTGTCTGCCCTGTGATGGACTCGTGACCTGTCCAGGGTGTATCCTGCCTTCTGCCCAATGACAGCTGGGATAGGCTGTGACCCAGAAGGATAAGCAGTTTAGATGATGTATGTATGTATTTAGTCCAAGTTACATACTGTAAAGGCAGCATTCAGAATACAGTACAGTACATACAATTTTCAAAATAAATACCATCAGTACTTGTTTATGAACTATTTCAGAATCAGTGCACAACATGTAGCAAACATACTGGAGAGGACATATATATATATATATATATATATATATATGTATATATATATATATGCTCTATTAAATATTGTCACTTTTTGTGTTTTATGAAAAATATTATTATGTGTGTACAACTGGTCATGTATTGGCTAGTGTTTCTGAGTTCTGCTCAAAATTAGCTAAAATTGTTGCTACTGAAACATGTGGTAAAGTTTTGGAAGCGTTGTGACTGTGTTGTTAGTGAAACCATGGAATGTTCAATCATAGTTTAATAAAATAAACATAATTAAGCCAGTCACTCAAAGCCAAAGAATGGCTTTAGTCTAAAATCCAAGTCAGTTGAAAGTCTAAAGTGTGTTTTGAACTCACTAGAACTCGGTAGAATGATCCATGTAGAACTGTGACAACCCAAAGAACCATTTGAATGTTTAAGTTGTTATTTGCATGGCATGGAAAACCTGTTTTATATGGTTCTTTTGCACCAGAAAGGGTCCTTAATTCCTTTTTGTGGTACTATAGAATCATTTTGCTAAGAGTGTATTAGCAGAGTAATATTTTGCATTAGACTTGATTATTTAATGTGTAAATTGCTGATGCTTCTTTAGAAAAAGTGTAAATCCAGTAGATCTGCAAGGTTTACAGTAGACCTGTGCATACAGTATGCAGGCTAACCAGTTTGGTCATACACTAGTTTAACTAATCTCGCTTTTCCATCAGCAGAATCTTTCCTAAAGGTACAGGAATTACAACAGCCGTCTTTCTAGATATCCGTCGCTTCTTTCTCCAGTGAAATGTTTAAAAAGCGATTGACTGACGTTCAGGACTTACAAGAGCTTCAGAGATTAAACACATCACATAAAGGAGAACTGCAGTCTGCGTGATTTCCTTTCCCACCCGTATTCCGACAAGACCTGCCTCCAGCGCGAGCTTCGCTACTTTTGCGCCAGGATTGGCTAACATGACTTACTCTTGCGATGGGATTGGCTAGAAGGATTTACTCCTGCGCTCGGATTGGCTGGTGGTTCTCACATTCAAACGACGGATTATTTACTAGCCAGTCCTAACGCAGGAGGCAGTTCTTGTCGGAATACGGGTGCGGAAAAAATAACGCTGTGAGTCCACTGGTCCACGGAGAAACAGTGCGCGGGAGTGAAGACAGAGGAAAGACAGCAAAGCACTTACAGGGAATTTATACACTGGAACTGCTGGCTGTTTTGAGTCCTGAGTGAAAGTCTGGTTGGAATACAGTGTTGTCTTGGCTGATAAGGTGAGTTAAACCAAAATTCCACAAGCACGCTACAGTACGGCATTTTCAAATTGGGCATTTTTAAATAGAGTACCCGTGTTTTCTTTAACTTCATATTATTTGTGTGTTATTCCATCGTAAAGCACACTGTATGATGGGAATGTCTTGTAAATTGCCACAGCTGATTGTGAGACGGCGCCACCTGCACCTTCTTCTCATTATATGAGCTTTAAAGTTGTTCAGTTCAGTAAATGCTGTGGGAGCATGGGGGTGTCAGAGCATTAATGTTGCATAACCCACATCTGTGGAGTGAGTCACTGAAGATTGAAACTAGAAACAGATAAACTTAGGAGTCTTTCATGGCTCGTCTGGTCTGCATCAGTGCAGTGATCTAAGTGGAGGTGCTTGGACCCGCTGCAATACAGTATTGCTATTTAGGCTGCTGGAAAACTCTGACTCAAATATTTGTTGTTAGAATGAATGAGTGTCTCTATAAACATCTGATTGACAAAATAAGTTAACTTATCTGTGACAACAGAATGCATATAGGAAAAAAGTGTGTTCTGTGTAATTCATGGTGTCTTGGATATTTCTTTTACATTCCTTTGTTCTTTTTTAGTGCGTTCATGTCTTCCTGTGGCACAATGGGTAAATGCTGGAGTCATCATCTCCTAATCATGCTCCTTATTTGGACTTGCATAGTGAGCCAGCAAACGACGGACACATTCCCTTTAAAGTTTACGCACTCACTCTACAATGCAACAATATACGAGAATTCTGCTGCAAGAACCTTTGTTGAATGCCCAATTAAAATGGGCATTTTCATACAGGACCGATCTTGGGATATATGGTACAGAATAGAAGCTGGGGACCATGAAAAGCTATTCAAAGCAGAAAAGTATGTTTTGGGTGACTTCAGTTTCCTGCGAATAAGGACCAAAGGGGGCAGCTCAGCCACACTGAACAGGGAGGTAAAAGACAAGTATTTGCTTACTGTACAAGCAATTGAAAGACACTCAGGAGCAGAGGCACAAACCCAAGTGCAGCTTGAAGTTTTGGACGCAAATGATCTCAGACCGCTTTTTTCACCAACCTCCTATAGCATCTCCATTCCTGAAAACACTCCCATCAGAGCCAGCATAGGAAGAGTCTCAGCAACAGATGCTGACACTGGCACCAACGGAGAGTTCTACTTCAGCTTCAAAGATTGGACTGCTATATTCTCCATCCATCCAACAAGCGGTGTCATAACTCTCACAGGCAAACTGGATTACCTAGAGATGCCACGGTATGAGATTGATGTGCTAGCAGTGGACAGAGGCTTGAAGCTCTCTGGGAAAAGTGATGTCAGTAGTACAGCAAAGCTGACAGTGCAGGTACTGCAGTCCAACGACCATGCACCTGTTGTCAAAGCAGTTCCATTAACTCCAAGAAACACCACCAAGGATCCTATTTATGCGTTGGTGTCTGTGGAGGATGATGATGAAGGGCAAAATGGAGAGATAGCCTCTTTGAGCATAGTGGCTGGAGATCCACTCCAGCAGTTTAAGGCCATTAGAACAAGCCCTGGAGGCAAAGAGTACAAGATCAAGGCAAACAAAGAGGTGGTCTGGGAGGGATATGACTTTGGTTATAACCTTACCTTGCAGGCCAAAGATAAGGGAAACCCACCAAAGTTTTCTTCAGCAGTAGTAGTGAGGGTGAAACCTCCATATGAAAACATGGAGGCTCTGCAATTTGAAAAAATGATCTACAGAGTTACTCTTAGTGAGTTTGCACCACCACACTGTCCAGTGGTCATGGTCAGAGCTGTACCAAAACATCCAAATGTGAAGTATTTGCTACAGTATAAGATGCAACAGCACAGGAATCCATTCACTATTAACCCAAACACTGGCCTCATAACCACTGTGGAACCTGTGCAGGCAGAACGTGTTAGCCAGTATGAGTTTGATGTAAGTACTAGCAAAGGACGAGCTTCAGCTAAGGTAGTTGTTAATGTCATTGACATGAACAACAATGCTCCAAAATTTCAACAGTCTAAGTATGAAGCTAGCGTTGATGAGCATGTCCCTGTAGGGACTAGCATTTTAGCAGTCAGTGCAAGCGATGATGACGAAGGAGAGAATGGCTATGTCACCTACAGTATTGTTAGCATGAACAAAAAACCCTTTGCTATTGACTATTTCACTGGCATCATAAGCACATCTGAAGAGTTGGACTATGAAACGATGCCAAGCAAATTCTACCTAAGGGTTCGAGCTTCCGACTGGGGGTCCCCTTTCCGCCGCGAAGCAGAAGTTGTGGTCTTAATCACACTGAAAAACCTGAATGATAACCAGCCTCTCTTTGAGAACATTGACTGTGAAGTAGCCATACCAAGATCCTTTGGAGTTGGTGAGCAGATAATAGTGCTGTCTGCAATTGATGCAGATGATTTAGGAATTGTGAGGTATCGTATAAGTGCAGGTAATGAGAGGGACTTCTTCGAATTAGATCCAACTTCTGGTGTGCTAACGCTTAAAAGGCCATTAAGTGATGGTGGTGGCAAAGAACATCCTTTTCATGCTTTACATATAGAAGCAAGTGACGGGGAGATATCCAGTTCACCCATGCTTTTGAATATCACCGTTGTTAGCAGTTTGAAAGAAATGTACTCAAAGTGTGTGGAAACTGAAGCCCTGAGACGTTTAGCTGAGATGCTTCTCTTTGGCTCTAAACTGCACACTGAAATAGAAATGTTAGGGGAATTTGCAGACATGCATTCTGTTAACAACAGTGTACCACAGTTTGCAGAGTCCATTCCTAGTCAGTTAGAGGTTAGAGAGGACTTTCCAGTGGGGAATAGTGTAGTGCTTCTCAAAGCAACAGATGCAGATAATGGCTTCAATGGGAAACTGCTTTATGTGATATCAGGAGGAAACGTTGACAGTTGTTTCATGATAGAAACAGATACTGGATGGCTCAAAGTTGTTGAACCTCTTGATAGAGAAACAACTGACCACTACACACTTAACATAACCGTATATGATCTTGGTTTACCTCAAAAGTCCTCATCGCACATTTTAGAGATCAGTGTGCTGGATGTCAATGACAATAGCCCAGAGTTCCTAGAGCATGAGTATTCAGTGGACGTTAAAGAAGACAGTGCTGTGGGAACAGATATCATTCAGCTTGAGGCTACAGATAAGGATTTGGGGATCAATGGGGAGGTCAGCTACTCCTTTCTGACCAAAACAGACAAATTTGCCATAAATGAAGAGACAGGGATTGTAACAGTTAAAAGCCCATTGGACAGAGAAGCGAACCCATGCTTTGCTTTGAAGGTTGCCGCTTACGATAAGGCAAAACATGATCCTCAGTTGGTGTCCACTGTGATTCTGAATGTCATGTTAGAGGATGTAAATGACAACGCTCCTACTTTTTCTCCTTCACATTGCCGTGTGAGAGTACGGGAGGATATTCCAGTGGGCACCTTGATCTTATGGCTGGAGGCCCATGACCCTGACTTGGGTCAGTCTGGACAAGTGAGGTACAGCTTGACTGATGATGCAGATGGAAGCTTTCAGGTGGATAAAATGAGTGGAGCAGTGTACCTGTCACAGCCCCTTGACTTCGAGAGGAAACAGGCATATAATCTGACAGCAAAAGCTAAAGACAGAGGAAAACCAATCTCTTTGTCCTCAATGTGCTTCATTGAAGTGGAGATAGTGGACGTCAATGAAAATTTGTATCGCCCGTCTTTCCCCTTCTTTGTGGATTGGGGAAGTGTGAGCGAGGACGCCCCTGTTGGATCTTCTGTAATGAAAGTTACTGCGCATGATGAGGATGAGGGAAGAGATGGAGAGATACGCTATGCCATACATGATGGCTCAGGCCTTGGGGTTTTCACTATTGATGAAGTGACTGGTAAGTGGGTTGTTAGCTCACCCTGAGAAGTTCTGAATCACATATTATGAAAATGAGCCACACATTATGAAATGTGTGAGCTGACTATCGTAGTGCAATTTATATAGTCCATTCATTATGACATTTTGACACAATATAAAGGACAGCTTGCACTTTTGTAGTAATAAAAAAGTTTTGATATGACAGTGATGAAAATATGTGATAATATATTGCTGCTGTTGTAACAAAAACCTTTACTGTTGTATGGTCACTTAATATGAGAAGCAAAAAAGTTCTCAAATTTAATGTGTGTTAATGTAATGAGATGTTTTTTCAAGTACTTTTGGACCATTTCTATTGGTTTATTCATCATGAATTGTGAATTTAAAATCAGTTACAAAGTTTTGATATAGCAATGACAGTATGTTAGGCTCCATTAATCATGGAACTTTTAAAATACTATGAAAAGACCACCCTTTATCTAGTAATTTCATTTATGTAAAGCCAGTCAAAACAGCTATTAAGAGTAAGTTATTCATTTTTCAGCATTAGATAATGCTGAAAACATGTATACAACAGATAATTACACAAAAGTCTGTCCGTGTTTTCAGTATTTATTGTGTCCATCCTTTGCCTTTATTACAGTCTCCTTTCTTTTCAAGATATTTGCTTTTAGTGTTTCAAAGAAATCTAAAGAGATATTTTTCCACACCTGCAAAGTTCAATCTTAGAAATTAGTTACATTTTCTGCTTCTCACTATCCAGGTAATCCCAAACACATTCAGTGATGTTGAATTTTGGTCTCTGGGGTGATCAGTTCATTGCTCTGAGAACACCAGCAGCTTCTTTGTTTGATTTGCAAATGTTCTTTTTATATATTTATTTTTTCCATAACAGCTTTGGGACAGCTACACATCCTTTCAGACTCATAGTGTTGAGTTGTCTTCTCACAGTGGAAGGATGGACAGAAACACCTGTGGATTTTTTTCAGATTTGAAGCAAGAGTGTAGCTGATTTTCTCCTCTCTCTCAAAGATAAAAGCTTTAAGTACTGTTTATATGATAATGACAGTATTGGTGGTCTACCAGGTCTTGCATGCTTGTTTTTTTCGTTTTTTTTCTTTGATATTCCCCTTCCTTATGCAAATGGATTATCTTTTATCTAATCTTCTGAGACATATCTCCTGAAAAATGAGTAACTTGAGGCTGTTTTGACTGGAAATAGGAGTGGTCTCTGACTTTTGCGCAATACGGTATAGACTGATCAGTTATGAGGTATCACAGGAGAGAAGCTCATTTTTGATGTCTTCTAAGATGCATTTTTAGAACATGATATTGTTTCTCCCTGAGGTAAAGAATGATCACTCAAAGGCCAGCATGAGAGGTACTGTAACACCAGAACAATAGCAAAGCCCAATCTCCCTGTAAGCAGACACTGCAGTGAGACATAGCCAACTATAGAGTAATCTTCTGTTCAGCCTCTCAGACATGATAACTGTCCTTTTTACTCTTGTGCAAATTCTACTGATGCCAATTTTCAGTTTCACAGCAAGATACAGTATTGCCCTCACCTGTACATTAGTACTGATTGGAGCTGAAGTAATGCACTGTGCAAGTCTCTCCATGTCCCTGCACCAGTTCTTCAGCAACAGTTAGTCATATCTTAACTGCAAAGTTTGCTATGTAAAACACTCATGGTCATGTGATCAAGTTTATGACTGGGGAGTCAGCATAGTCTCTGGCTTAGTGCTTGATGAACATTTGCTAGCAGTACCTGAACAATGCTTAACATGTAGTTCAATATGTTTCTTTTTGTCTTTGTCATAGGTGTCATAAGGACACAGGAGATACTGGACCGCGAGACCACCAGTCATTACTGGTTGACGGTCTATGCCACCGACCAGGGGGTAGTACCACTCTCGTCTTCTGTGGAGGTCTACATAAATGTTCAGGATGTCAATGACAATGCTCCACAGACTTCAGAGCCTGTCTACTACTCCTCTGTGCTGGAGAACTCTCCAAAAGATGTGTCTATCATGCAGATCCAAGCCTTTGATCCTGACTCCAAAACCAGCGACAAACTGACCTACAAGATCACCAGTGGGAATCCACAGGGATTTTTTAACATTGATTCTCAAACAGGTAGGTTCATTTTTCCACCTATTGCATCTTAGACACAGGGTTAGTTTAAATGTACGAGACATTTATCTATACATTTAAGTGACTTTCACAGACTTTTAAGGTCAGAGCACACCAACCAAGCAAACAACAATAAACACAACTGTCTGATTACTGGGACAACTTAGAATGTTCTCTCTCCATTCACTCTGGTTCATTTGGCTCATCAGTCCTTTTTTGTGTCCTTCTAAAAACAACTCCAAACATTAGAACTTTGGTGTTTATTGCAGAATGTTCGGCCGGTCGGCTTTAACCATTAAGGTTTCTAATTTGATTGCAGGGTACAAACCTATGTACTACATTAGACCACTTAATTGTCAATGTTCAGCTTTCAAAAACTCTTTCCTGTTTTGTGGAGCATTTTCATTATGCAAATTTAAGTCCAGTCTTTTAAAGCCTAGAGACCTGGGAGAGTTGATAAAGTGAGGCAGCAGCTTCCAGCACTATTTTACTATCAGCATCTGCATTTCCATAAGCTGTAACTACAGAAACAAGCAGTTAGCGCTAAAACAAATGAGAAGTGTTAGTGATCCGACACAAAGGAGAGTACTTATTTAGGGTTTTTTTAAACTTCACTGCCCTTTTAATTTTCCACAAAGAGGTAAAAATGAGACCTTAATTGAATTTACTCCAGCTCTGGTACAGTTCACTGAGACAGCAGCTGGGTGATTAGTATTCTCTGAACAATATATAAAATAAATGCAGCTAATTAATTGGACTTGTACAAGCATTCTCAAAACTTCAAATTCAGTTGACATAAAATGCACAGCCTGTGAAGTGTGCTTTTACTTTGTTCCCCTGACAGCTTGTTTTGAGTTGCAGATATAGATCAGTTTATGGCTAGAAAAGTGAGGAATTGCAGCCCAGACTGGATAATACAACTGTAGAATACAGTATTAACGTACTGTGAGAGACCACTCTTCATTTATTTAAGTTCTGGTCAAAGTGGCCATTAAGTATAAGTTATCCATTTTTCAGGAGATATTTCTGAAGAGATCAGATATAAAATAATTCACTAACAAAAGGGAGGGCAACGTCAAAGGACAAAAAGCTATTGAGGGGTCCATGAGCTTGCCATAAAATATGATTTTTTGTATATGTTTCTCTAGCTTTGGGATGATACAGTATACCATGATAATAGATAATATAACAGATAATACCATGTGTAATTGGTGGCTTTGAGTGTCCATCTACATTTTGTGTGAAGCAGGCCAACAGACACTGAGGAAATCACAAAGGACTGACTCTTCACATCGGAAACCCTTCATACTTTATTCAGTCAACATCGGAGACACATGCGAAATGGCGTGCAAAGAGTTTACAGCCGCAGAAGTTGCTGCAGCAGTTTTGGAAAGTAGAGATGAAGATAATGGAGCATTTTGATGTGAAACATATGAGTATTATGTTATGTGCAAGTGCCTCTAAAGGAGAATTTAAAAAGATATGCAAAGGTCGAGAAAATTCCCTTAGATGCCAGAGGGTTAAAATTCAAAGTGAAAATGGGACTCATAGGAACCGTGCAAGACCTCGTAGACCACCAAAACTGTCACCATCAGATAAACAGTACTTAAAGCTTTCATCTTTGAGAGCAAATCAAGCTCCACTCTTGTTTGAGATCTGAAAAAATGCGCAGGTGTTTCTGTTCTTCCTTTCACTGTGAGAACACACTCAACACTATGACTCTGACAGAATGTATAGCTGTCAAGAGGCCCTTGCTGAGAAAAGACAATAGACAAAAAAAGAACATTTCCAAAAAAGAAAAAAAAGCACCTGGTGCTCTCAGAACAATGGACTGTCAGACCTCAGCATCACTGAGTGTGTTTGGGATTACCTGAGTCGTGAGAAGGAGAACATGCAACTTCTAAGACTGAGCTTTGGAGGTGTGGAAGGATATCCCTGCGGATTTCTTTGCAAAAATGGGAAGCAAGCTGAAAAGAAAGAAAGCTATAATAAAAGCAAAGGGTGGATATGGAAAATGCAAAATGGATAACTTGTACTTAAACAGGGGGCAGTCTCTGATTTTTATGACACATATTTATACATTTGCTGTGTGCACTTGCATGTTCATTTTTTGAGGATGCCTTATGTCTTTAAGCATGCTTTTTTGCAATTACACCAAAGATTAAGTACTTTACACTCTTCACACTGATTTACTTTGTTAGGTGCAAAGTGAAGCTGCAGCAAGGTGTAAAATAGGCAGCAGAATGATTTGACTTGAGTGACCAAATAAGCATTTGTACAACTGTTGTTATATAGAAAATGTTTCTGTCCTCATATAAAGGCATATAAAGTAAACTCCAACTTATACAACAACATTCCCAATAGGAGAACCATTATTTTCTCAGTTTTTGTGTATTTTCATTCACAACATGAACACAGTGGAATATTGATTAGTAAAATACAAAAGGTAACAAAAGGTAAAGTGTAGACTAAAATAATATACACTTGGTCTGTAGATCTGGGCTTTTTCAACACATATTTCAGGTTTTTTTTTATCAGTCGACACAACAGTGCTAGGACGGTGCAGCTTTATTATTACTGATTTACTTTGCTTCTGCTATATTATTGATTTCTTAATTCAGCTTACCTATAGTTCCAAAGAAGTCTAAAATCGATGTAAACTTTTTTCTTCGTGCACAGGTTTGATAACGACCACTTCTCGAAAACTGGACCGGGAAAAGCAAGAAGAGCATATACTTGAAGTAAGCCATTAAACTGGAGATGTTTAAAAGTCTATTCACACCGGAGCCAATGTGTTCCCCACTGAATCCCATTTCTCTCTTACCAAGCTGTATTAAGTGTTCTGCCGCATCTGCATAAGAAATAGCTGTTTTAAAAGGCACTTTTCTGCATTAAATCCAGTTCTGCTGATGTGCTGCTGGGGTGTAAATAGAAGAGCTGTAATTATGGGATGTCTTGGGCTGTGTTGATTGATTAAAGTTTTTGAACATCACATTCGATGTTCAGCCACATTTATACTATGCTGAGATGAAAGGCAGGCAGAACTTCGAAACTCAGGTAACATAATTATCTGACTAGTACTTTTGCTGGGAACATTCTCCAGATATTTGCTTGGCTTATATTGATGGACTAAACTAACGATCATATTTGGAGTCTCTGAGATTCATCTCAGCTTTTTCATGTCTTCCTTTCATCCAAAAAGGTGACCATTTCTGACGATGGCATTCCGACCATGTCTACAGTCATTCGTATGGTAGTGAAGGTGCAGGATGAAAATGACAACTCTCCTCAATTCCTCGAGAAGGTCTATAAAATCAAGCTAGTGGAGCGGCCAAAGGCGATCAGATGGGAGCCGGTTTATCGCGTCATTGCCCATGACAGAGATGAGAGTCCTTACTCTGAAATCTCATACAGCATAGAGGAGGGGGACGAGCATAGGAGATTCTTCATCGAGCCCAAAACTGGGCTGATCTCATCCAAAGAGGCTTTCTCAGCGGGAGACTATCACATTCTCACGGTATATTTCTTTCCTTCAATTCTCCATTTTGAAGTGCCAGGGCCAATACCTTTGAGACCTGCAATACTGTGCAAAAGTCTTAGGCATCTGAGAAAATGATATGTAGAACCATTTATTTGGACAAGAAGCATTTATTTATTCAGAAAAAGCTCTAACATTAGAAAAAACACAAATAAACAAATAAATAAACATTGCCTGTCAGTGTTATCTTAGCCATTTACAAAGCTCTTCTCAAGGAAGCATAGGATTTACAATCACCATCTAATACCTAGTTTATCTGATTAATCCTTCATTAAATCAATCAGGTGCTGCTGATGGAATTTAAAAGTTTTAGCATTTAGTGAATGCAGTGAGGTCAGGAACCAGACCTGTGTTCTTCTAACTGTATTCTTCTAACAATGATATTACTTTTTAAAAAACAACAAATCTTGCTACATTTTACTGGTTTTATGTTTATTTTAATGTTAAATAGTGTTTTTACTGACAAACTATTTACTGGGTTTTGCACAGTACTGAAAGTTCTCAAAAATAGAGCTGCCAAAAAGCATTCTTTATAGTGATGCCACATACTCTTAACAAAAAAGTTTCTATGTTGTCCCAAAATGGTTGTTTGACTTGGTGCTATATAGAACCTTTTTTTTAAACAAACCACATACAACAGGTTCTCCAGCATATAGAACAACCTTTTAACTGCGCAAAGAACTATTTAAGCATTCAAATTGTGCTTTGAGTTTTGAGTCATATATGCAGCCCTTGCCTATAATGAAGAACCTAGAAACGACTCCCTTTTTACTATTTTAGAAGATCCACTTTTAGTTTCCAAAACAACTGTTCAATGGATGTTTTAAAGAAACTTTTCTATAAATCAGGTGTATAAGCATGAAGAACTGTTGTAAAGTTTAAAGAACCTCAAAATAAGGTAACGCTTCTATACAAACTCTAGAACTATTCAGCTAAGCTGCTTTTGCTGCTTTCAAGTGGTCTCCGATTTATTGGAAAAATGAGTTTCCCACTTGGAGGCACCGCATGAACACTTATCAAAGTTGGATGATAAAGATGGGTTGTGACATCAACACTGTTTTAATCATGGTAAATTAATGGTAATGGTAAAGTAATTTGTGTAATTAAAGGTGCATGAGACAAAATTAAAGATACATGAACCTCTACCAGTTAAATATGTGAACTACATAACACTGGAACGATTTCTTTTACTCTTTGGATCCGCCTCCCATTCCCACCCCTCGTCAAAAGCACAGTGTAGAATCGATGGTGCTCAGTGTCAAGTTTATTTAGAGTTTGCTTGCCTTACCTGTCATTGCCATGACTTCAGGTTCTAGCAATGACGTCAGATGTTTACTAAGGGTATAGCTTTAGATTGAGATGATAAAAGTATGGCAATATGCTAACATTGATTGCGAGGAGATCAAAATATAACCTACATCTCAATAGACCACATGGAGTATGGTCCTTCTCATAGCTAAAACAACAATTTTACAAGATGCTGATAACAATGAATATCATGACTATCAGCTAGTTTACATCAAGGTGGTTGTGCTTGCTTTCAGAACCTAATTAATACATATAACCATCAAAACAGGGCTACAATACTGCTCTCCCCCGCAAAGTATTGATTTATTCTTCTTGGTAAATTATGATGACATACTGTAGGATTTTTTTTTTTGTCTAATTGAACTAATCAAGTACTCTCCAAATACTTCTTTGTACAGCAGTGCCGTTTGGCATAAGCGAGCTTCAGACTCCTGTGTCCCTTTAGTCCAGGAGGATTACAAAGTTGCAAGCATATAAACACTTGGCATTCGGTTCATACTGATTTGCTACTCAAGTTTGTTTTCTTAGCCATGCATACAGATATGGGAGTGGAGTAACGTGGCGTAGGGGAAGGTCTTCTAAAATGACTGACAGGAGGTCAGCGTAAAAATAGCCAAACCACATTTTATTTCTTACATTTATGTTCAAAGCAGCTACAAAAGAAGCTGTATGCCAGCTGATTGCTAGATTAAATGCAACAACCATTTCACAGTTTTTTTATTTGTAATTTATGTCAGACATGAAACACATGAATGTGAAATCTAGTAAACAACTTCAAAGTTAAAAGCATCTTTTTATTTTTAAGAGTGATTAACCAGTGATTGCAAACACACCATCTTCCACATTCAAAGACAACAACGCGCACCCTCACACACACTCCTCTCTCGCAGATTAAGGCGCTGGACAATGGCCGGCCTCAGAAGTCGTCCATCTGCCGGTTGCACATTGAGTGGATTGTGAAGCCTGAGCCGCCTAAACAGGCACTGGTGTTTGAGGAGACCTCGCTCCAATTCTCTGCCATGGAGAGTGATCCAGTGGGCCATATGGTGGGAGTCATCAGCGCTCAGCCTCTAGACTCTCCTGTCTGGTTCGATATCAAAGGTAATCAATATCATTCTCTCCACTCGTTTGAAAAAGGCGAAGGATAGGATGTAGAAGAACTTAATAATTCTAAATACTCCACTGCTGCAATTGATATGGGTCTTTAGTGGCATAAATGGACTTAACCGCTTGCTTCATTACCTTCATCTCTACCCTGCACTAATCAGCTTTCCTTAACTAAATCTCTCCTCTCTATAATCTCTGCTTTGCTGCTTCGTTTTTTTCCCCCTCTCTTGGCTTTGCGTACAAGAAGACACACACGCTAAAGAAGTGTTTCACATCGTTCAGATGGCTTGTGACCTGAACTGTAGAACAGAAGGTATTTGCTGACGAGTGAATGTCTCACCTCTGCTCTTTTGAGTGCTGTAATATTATTGCTTGTCACATATCCCTCGAAACAATAGTGCAACATTTGCTCTGTAAAAATATGAAAATGAATTCCACAAGATTACTGTGTTATTATGGCCTTCATTTATTGACCCAGTAACAGAATCCATATATCATATTATGCAAAAATGCCTCCTGTTTTTTGAAGAGTGCTAATTTTAGGTGGTGAATTTGTCCATATTGGGAATAACAGGTGGAAACGATGACAGCCGCTACAATGTGGAGAAGGGCAGTGGCACTATCATCATCGCCAAAGCGCTGGATGCAGAGCAGCAGTTAAATTATAACCTAACTGTGGAAGCAACAGATGGAACCAGATCCATCAGCACTCAGGTATTTCGTTCCCTTTGGCACATGCCGAAAAAAGGCGGAAATAATGTGTGCAGGTTTTTATCAGCTGAATAAATGACAGGGGCAGAAAGGGCGCATGGAAATGTTTATAATGACAGGATAATAGCTGTTTTTCAATCTCTGTGCTTATGCAATCCTAGTGCACTTTGTGCTTTTCAGCAAGAGCTGGTTGAGTACAAATCACCAGTGTAATGTAGAGCAGATGCTTGGCAGCAGAGTTTAGGGCTGGCATTGCTTAAACTTTAAAATCATAAGGCATTACAGTGCACAGAGATCACATATACCAGAAATCAATCTCATTTTACAGAGAGCGCTTCTGATTTGATTTACACTGCAGTTTCATGTAGTATTACATGCTTAATTCACGCCTGTGCCCAGCTATATTCCTGAAAGGCCGCAAATATCCACATACATATTCTCCGCAGTGGTTCTCAGTCCCAGTCATGGTGTCCCTGCGCACATATTTGTATATTTACTTTTTAACATTTCCTGATTCACTTAATCAGGTAATTATTGAGTCAGACATGCTAGAGCAGGGATCGGCTCTTTTACTGCCCTTTTGTGGCTTCACAGCAGAATTACATTTTAGGCAAAAATAAAATAATCCCTTTTTGCAGTAAAATAAAGCTCTGCTGAGCGTTCCTATACAGTTTAACAATAAATGGTCTTAAACGATGGAGTTCATGCAGCGTATAACTGCTAATTCACCAATTTTTAATCCTGAAGCTTGGCGCACAGACTGCTGGTCACAAAGCAATGCAGACAGCAATCTCGCCTAGCTAGTAGCTAAAGAAAAGGCAAAGAGAAAGATTTAAGACAAACATTGATAATTTGGAGATGAATGGACATATTTGCATTTATAAGCACTTCAGCTGGATTCCTTATACATTTAATCTGCAACAACAGACTGTCAAACACTAAAAAGTCACAAAGCTAAAGTTAACGTCTTGTTCGAATTGTCCTGTTACATCTTAAATAGTGCAGCAGTAGCATTCTGGCGACTCAAGCGTCATTTAAGGTGGAACGGGAAAATTTAAACGAGATGCTGGCAAATGGGAAGCTGACTTAAGCCTTGCGAAAAGTCCAACATCGAGAGATATTTTACAAGAAACTGTTCCACTTTCGAGGACGAGTTTCCTGCTAGTGATGCGAGAAAAGCGGCTATAGCTGAGCTAAAGCCTAAAGCAGAGTAAGTGGATTTTCACTTGTATTATATTTTCTAGTCTATACTAAGACATTCGCACATACTGAGACATATTTACAGCCACAATGGTAAAATGTTACTTCAGTAAAATGGACATGAAATGTTGTGGCTCCCAAGGTGGTTTGATTTTTGTTAAAAGGGCAAAATGGCTCTTAACATTTGAGTTGCCGACCCTTGTGCTAGAGCAAGGAAAGCTTAGAAATGTGTCTGACATGTTGGCCCCAGCACTGAGATTAAGGACAATTCGAATACTTTAAATTCATCTCAGTTCTTCTAAAGGAATAAGGTCAGTCATGAATACTAACAATAAGTGAAAGCAAAGGATTATTTATACGACCTCATGCTAGTTTACTGGCTGCTGGGTTCTGGTCATTGTTAACCAGATTGGCATGTATTGTTGAGATATTCTTTTAACGTCTTGAACTGCAACGGCCTGGATTCATCTGAAAACAATGGAGATGTTAACAGAACGGTTCAGTCAATAAAGCTAATGATGCTAACAGCGAATAATTGGATGCTAAGTTGTGGTAATTGATGGCTACTAGTTTGTTCCTTTTTTGAAACAACTGCATGGGCCTGTATGTGGGCCCACACTCAAATTCCTTACTCTCAAAACTGTAGAACTTGCATATTAGTTTTTTGTAGTTGAGATTGTGTAAATGATATAACAACCATGTAAATGGTTAGACTGGCTTGGGGGATGTAGCTTTTTGTACAGGCATGATGTCTTCCTGCAGCACCGATTATATTTAACCAGCACAGCTGCATTTCTAGCACAATCTCATCAACATTAAGAAAACAAACGTGGTTTTAATGTAGGATATCACATCACCCTGTATTACAAAGTCCAGGCATGAGAACAGGTGGGAATACTGCTATCTTGCTATGGTTTGCACAAAATAAATCAATAAATGAGCACTTTTTTAACTGGCTAATGAAATGAGTTTTACAGTTACTGGGGGCTATTAATTATCAATTGTCAATTAACCGTCACCAGGCACTGGCCTAATCAAACAATGTGTAGTTAGTTAACTGGGGTTTAACTGGGATTTCGGAGGTGGGAGAGTCCTGTTTTCTTCCATGCGTGGAACTATGTCAACTATGTTGGAACAGTATTGTTCAGTGTATGTGATATTATATGTTTTTAGCACTGATATCATAAAAATTTGTTTAAACAGAGGTTAAGCCTGGTCCTAGACTACACAGCATTCTCAATGGAGATTCTCCATTGAAAGGAAAATGTAGTCCAGGACTAGGCTTAACTCTGCCTTTCACCCAAGGCAAAGGTGCGCTTTGGCTCAGTTCAACCCTTGAACAGGCATGATGTCCACCAACAGCACTGATTGTGTTTATACAGCTGTGAAAGCAATCCTAGCCTTAACACAACATTACAGACTAGACTGAAAAGTGCTGGAGCACACTTTTAAGATTAGTAACTGACTAACAAGCCTGTAGTTTAAGGGGTTAATAATAATCTGATTACTGAAACAGGGTGTGCAAACAGCGAAAACTAAACTTTGAAGTGCTCTGGCCCTCCAGCCTTGATGTTCTGCTCTGCTCTGCTCTAGTTTCAGCCTCAGACGGTGGTTCCTGTATCACACTGGCTTTGTGTTGTGGTCTGTACTCCAGCGATGCAGGCCCTCTTTGTCCTTTAGTGTCACAGTGTGGAGGTAGTTCTCCTAGGGCTATACCTGTATATGTCAGCCGAGGCAGTCAGCCTTATCAGGTCACGGTGCGAGACTCATCTATCAGTGGAAGCAGGCTTGCCTGAGGGCACGAGAGTAATGCGAAGAGGAGTGATGTTTTCGAGGAGCTCGATGTTTAGGCTCTCAGCCTGCCTTTCCCCTTTCAGAGAGCTGTACCCTCCCGGGACCAGCCGCTGCAGTTTGTCATATTGTAATGGGCTCCTTGCATTTGGACATTTTCTAGGCCTGTGTAAATCTTATCTGCAATGTGCAGCTCAGCACAGACAATATTCACTTGGTACTGTTGCTTATCATAAGCAGCCATGCTTTATTTAGTATAATAGTGGATTTTTACAGTGTGCCTAAGGAGCTAAAACAACACAGCACAGTTTATGTCTCTCTTAAGCAGGGCGCCATGGGTTTTGCCACGATTATTCGCTTGAAGACAGAAAATACGAGCGTTGTATTGTTGATGTGACTCCGCAGCACTGTACACTCATACACTGATGTCACATCAAAACCTTGTGTTATTTTTTACTTTATATTGAACATTTCATGATGAATGGTCTAATAGAAATGATCCAAATTGGTCATATGAGATTATGTTACGATAATGACACTATAGTTGTCAAAAATATAGTACTGTGCAGAAATCAGAGACCACTTTTTGTTCATTTAAAATCCAATCAAAATGGCTGTTAAGTACAAGTTCTTCATTTTTCAGCATCAGACTGATAAGTACACAGAAGCTTCAACAACTAAATATAATATCAATTTTTCAGTATTTAGTGCAGTAAAGCTCCACTCTTGCTTCAGATCTGAAAAACAAGACATCTCAACACTATGGGTCTGAAAGAATGTGTAGCTGGTCATCTGAGATGTAGTTTTATGGACTGATGAGTCTAAGATTGGAATTGAAATTACTTCAATCAGGAAATGCAACCAGCTTCTAAGACTGAAAAATATCCCTGCAGATTTCTTTGAAAAACTGAAAGCAAGTCTCTTGAAAAGACCCCAAGCTTTAATAAAGGCAGAGTGGACACTGTAAACACTGAAAAAAATTATATTTATTTTTTGAGGCTTCTGTGTAATTGTCTGTTAAATATATGTTTTCTGCTTTTTTTTCCTGATGCTGAAAAATGATAAACTCATACTTAATGGCCATTTTGACTTTAAATTAAACAAATGAAAGGGTCTCAGACTTTTGCTCTGTACTTAACATTCTTTTACTGTTTATTCTGCCCCTCTAAATAGGTCTTAATCCAAGTTATTGACACCAATGAGCATCGACCCAAGTTTGTCCAAGCCAGGTATGAAATCAGTATTCCAGAGGAGACCCAGCCAGGGATGAAGATACTGGAGATCAGTGCTACAGATAAAGATGAGAAGAATAAACTATTCTACACACTATTGAGCAGCACAGACCCACATAGCCTGAAGAAGTTTCGTCTGGACCCTGGAACAGGCTTTCTCTACACTACTGAGGAACTGGATCATGAGACCATGCATAGACACACCCTCACCGTAATGGTAAGGCAAGAATTCTGCTTGTTTTTTTATTGAAAGAACATTTTTTTTCCATGTTTGTAATGGTTACATTGCCTACCTTGATATTTTACCTCTAACAACGCACAGTGGTTCAATCTCATTGAGTAAATGCCACATTTGAATATCATATCTAAACAGGTCCGAGATCAGGACGTCCCAGTGAAGCGTAACCTGGTGCGAGTGACTGTCAACGTTGAGGATGGCAATGACAATGCACCCTGGTTTACCAGCTCTCGGTACACTGGGCGCGTGTTTGAGACAGCTGCAGTTGGCTCAGCTGTATTACAGGTCACTGCTCTGGACAAAGACAAAGGTCAAAATGCAGAGATCCTCTACAGCATAGAGTCTGGTAAGAGTCAGTTCTCATTCAAAGGCAAATATGTCATCTTGATGCAACAATAAACGAATATCTACTTCGAAGAAGCACCTGAGCAGATTAAGACCTTCCAGACTGTTTTGTGTTGGATATGTGACAAGGAATTATGATCAGGAAATGGCCTAATGATTGCAAACAATGAGAGCAGTAATTACTGCCAAAAACTAATTATGCAGATGAATTACCAGCATTGGCTGTCCTCTCTGGAATATCTAATATAATTTGCTCATGACACAAGGCAGAAATTTGCAATAAGTAGGGGTGTAAAAATGCATAAATGCACTGTGATGCATTGATCTGAAGGTGGCTATTTGACTACATTAACTGGGATGTTAGAATCGATTATGACTGATTATAGTAATACTCAAAATGCACTCAGAGACATATTTACTCTCTTTCTGTGCCATAAAGCACAGTGCAAAAGTTTGAGAACTTCCTTTATTTATTTAATTTCCAGTCAAATGGCCATTAAGTACAAGTTATTCATTTTTCAGCATCAGGAGAAAAGCTGGGTAACATGTTATTTGAAGGCTACTTACATAGGGACTACATAACACATGCATAAGCACTGAATAATGTTTTTATGAAGCAATATTTGAGCATTTATGACCAGCTCATGCTAGTAACCACAAGATGACATGAGATGTTATATGATGTAAATGACACTGCAGTGACATAAGTGACATTTGTTCTATTATGAAGCATCATTTCCAAGTAATAGAAATTAGAAGGAAGGTGTAGTCGAAGTTTATGCCAACACAACTTACACACACAACACACGCAACACAACTTTACTTCAGCTTATGGCATCTTGTGATTACTGACATGACCTGTTCATAAATCTCAAGTAATGCTTTATAAATATGTTATTTAATGCTTATGCATGTGTTATGATGTCCTTATGTAGGTAGCCTTCAAAAGAAGAGTTACCAAAATCTGGAAACATATATTTAACAGAAAATTGCACAGAATCCCCAACAACTAAATATAATTTCAGATTGTTCAGCACTCGGCACATTCAGTTTTTCAAAGAAATCTGCAAACCTCCAAAGTTCAGTCTTAGAAGTTGGTTGCATTTTCTGCTTTTCATGATCATCCCAAATTTAGAGTTTTCAGTCCATACGACTTTACTTCTCAGATGACCAGTTTCATTGTCCTAGTGCAGATTATCTTTTTTGTCTGTTTCCTTTTCTCAGTATTGCTATACATTATTTCAGACTTATAACACTGAGTTGTCTTTTCACAGTGGAAGGATAGAAAGAAACAGATTTTTTTTCAGATCTGAAGCAAGAGTGGAACTTGATTTTCTCCTATGAAAGATGAAAGCTTTAAGTATTGTTTATCTGATAGTGATGGTTTTGGTGGTCTAGCAGGTATTGCACAGTGGTTAGGAGTCCCATATTCTCTATATTTTTAAAGAATCTTTTGAACTCCTGTTTTCTTATTTTCTTTTGACTTTCTTACCATGCCCTTTCTTATGCGATTATCTTGTATCCAGTTTTCCTAGAAAGATATCATTTAGGCATTTTAGATGCACATGATGGAAGAATTTTGTGAGGCAGCTAAGGTGTGTTGGAGTAGTTGCTTGTGTGAATGGTAGTATCTCTTTGATAACATAATATCAGTGGCATATTTGGGAACACTTTTTTTTTGGGAGGACAGTTGTAATTCGGCTTTAAAATTTGGAAGCATGGAAAGGTCAAAGAGTAGTGTGCACAAACAGAGTGGACATACTTATATATACTTATATTTTTTCCTTTAAATATATGTTCTTTTGCTTTTTCCTGAAACTGGAAAATAATTAAAGATGGTTTTGACTGGAATTTAAATCAACAAAGTGGTTGTCTTTGAATTTTGCACAGGACTGTAAAATTCTTTGGCTTTTTTCATAACATAAAACATAAAAAAGCTTGGTATATGTTTTTTTATTGTGAAAATTCCATCACAATGTAAATAGTTCCTGTAGTTGCATCCTGTAGTTCAGGTCAGAGATTTACATCTCTAGAAATAAGACATTTTTTCATCTGTGTTTTCAACACAGTAAATGAAATTTGTATGTTTATGCCAATTCACTAATGTACCATTGATTTCTCTTTGATGTGTCGCAGGAAATCATGGAAATTCTTTCAGTATAGATCCCTTTTTGGGCATAATAAAGGTTGCAGCAGAACTCAGCGGTGACCAGAAATGTCAGTATGAGCTGGAGGTGAAAGCATCAGATAAAGGAGAACCTCCTTTGAGCGCTTTTACAACTATCTCTATCACAGTCACCATTTCTGATAATGCCGAGCCAAAGTTTCATCACAGCCCGATCACAGCTGAGATCAGTGAGGCGGCTCCAGTTGGGAGTTTCGTGACCATAGCTGTAGCCTCCAGTCAGTCATCTGTCTTTTATCAAATCAAAGAAGGAAATGTGAATGGCGCGTTTGACGTCAATCCAAACTCCGGTGCCATTGTCACCCGAAGGAAGTTGGACTATGAGACTCTATCTTCGTATAAATTGACTGTGCAAGGTACGAACATGGCTGGAATGGCAAGCCAAGTCACAGTGCTCGTTCTCATAAAAGACGAGAACGACAATGCCCCTGTCTTCACTCAGACTGAATTTGTGGGGTTTGTCAGTGAGGGAGCTGCACCTAGGAGTGTGGTTCTGACTATTAAAAATACTCCGCTTGTTATTCATGCAACGGATGCTGATGAGGACGCAGATGCCAGGCTTGTCTATCAGATTGTGGAGCCATTTGCTCACAACTACTTTACCATTGATTCTGGCACAGGAGCAATTCAGACAATCAGTGGCCTTGATTATGAACAGCAGAGTGCGTTCCACTTCACCGTGCAGGCCCATGATACCGACTTACCACGCTTATTTACGCGGCATGTTGCCAACGTGACAGTCCACGTCACTGATGTCAACGACTGTGCCCCAAGATTCAGCCAGGATTCCTTTGAAACAACCCTGCTGGTGCCAACATACAAGGGAGTGAAAGTGATTTCCCTAAATGCCACAGATGATGACTCCCTGCCCAATGCCAAACTGCTGTTCTCCATTGTAGATGGCAACATTGGCAGCAAGTTTAGGATTGACCACATTTCAGGGGAGATCTTTGTTCAGAATGCCACACAACTGCGCAGCAGATACATTCTGACTGTCAGGGTTTCTGATGGACGGTTTACAACCACAGCAACTGTAAAAATAAAGGTTCGAGACAACAAAGACCATGGGCTGAAATTCACTCAGGAAGTATTCACTGCCTCCATACAGGAGAACTCATCAGGGAGGGAAACGTTGGCCATTATTGCTACGGTCGGGAAAAAAATGAACGAACCTTTATTTTACTCCATTGTCAATCCAGATGAGAGATTTGATATAGGTCATACATCTGGTGTTCTCTTTACTACCGGAGTGCCGTTTGATCGTGAGGAGCAGGATACATTTGATGTGATTGTGAAGGTTACAAAAGAGCGTAAAGATGCTGGAACTGCCCATGTCCTTGTAAAAGTCACTGTTGAAGATGTGAATGACAATGCACCCTTGTTTGTAGACCTACCCTACAATTCTGTTGCTCAGATGGATGCTGAAGTGGGAACAGTTTTGAGGCAGGTCACTGCAGTGGACAGTGATGTTGACAGAAATTCTGTGATTAAATACCATTTGAAGGGGCATGATGAATATTTTCAGATAAATCCCTCTGGTGAAATCTCTCTGAAGAGGCCATTTGAGCAGGAAAGTCTCAACACAAGATATGTGCTAAATATTATTGCTGAAGATGGAGGTGACCAGGCCCTCTCCTCAACAGCAGAAGTGACTATTACTGTGGTCAACAAAGCCACTCCCGTGTTTGAACGACCTTTTTATAAGGCTGAAGTTCCAGAGGATGTGCAGTTACACGCTTCTGTATTGCAGGTCCTGGCTAATGAGTCTGTTGGACCTCGTACTGTCTACAGGATCTATGAGGGAGACCCATTTGGTCACTTTTCTATTGATTTCAACACTGGAGTCATAGAAGTTATCCAGCCACTGGACTATGAGACTCACCCTGCCCACAGGTTAAGCGTACAAGCAATGGACTCTCTAACTGGGGCACACTCTGAAGTTTTTGTTGATATCATTTTAGAGGACGTCAATGACAATGCGCCTATATTTCATATGCAGTATTATAACGTCAGTGTTCCTGAGTCTGCTATGATTGGTACTTCTGTATTACAAGTGTCAGCTAGAGATTTGGACAGTGGCAGCAACAAAGAAATATTCTATCAGTTGTATGCAAAAAACGGGACCATTTCGGATCACTTCAGAATAGACGGTCAAAGTGGAGTCATCTGGACTACTGCTCTCTTGGACTTTGAAACAGAGCCAAAGCATGAGCTAACTGTGAAAGCTTTGGATGGAGGAGCTTCCCAGCTGTACAGTGAGGTCATGGTGGTAGTACATGTCGTTGATGTAAATGATAACCCACCTGTATTTACACAGCAACTTTACAACGCCACTATCAGTGAGCATTCTCCTCCAGGTCATTTTGTTGCCTGTGTTCAAGCATCTGATGCTGATAGCACTGATACTGGAAAACTAGAGTTCTCTTTTTTATCAGGAAATGAGGACAACGTCTTTGGCATTGATAAGAGCAGTGGGGAAATCGTCATTTCAAGCCATCAAAAGCCAATTGGGGCACAATATAACTTAATTGTGTTCACCACTGATGGCGTTTTCACAGCTTTTTCTGCAGTAAAAGTCAAGGTGATCGGAGCAAATCTGCACAGCCCATCATTTACACAGGATGAATACATTGTTGAACTTCTAGAGAACTCTGCTGTAGGCACACTCGTGACTCAGGTGAAGGTACGTGATAGAGATTCTGGGATATATGGTCAAGTTACACTATTTATTGTAAACGATGCTGCCAGAGACAAATTCACTTTGAATGCTGATGGTCAGATTCATACCGCTGAAAGTTTTGATCGAGAGAACCCAACGGAAAAAGTGATCCATATAAACATACTGGCTAAGGATGGTGGTGGAAAAGTAGACTTTTGCACAGTCACTGTGATTCTCTCAGATGTCAATGACAATGCACCTCAGTTCAGGCTTTCCGAGTATAAAGCTGCTGTTCAGAATGATGTTCCAAGAGGAACGACTGTGATCAAAATATCAGCTGTAGATGAAGATGAGGGGAGTAATGCTGACATCATTTACGCAATCGAGTCAGATATTGGACACTTTGAAATCCATCCCCTTAGTGGGGCAGTTGTCACAAAGGGAAATCTAATCGAGCTAGAAAATGGACTGTACTCTTTCTATGTGAAGGCTAAAGATTCTGGAAGCCCTCCAAGACAGTCCGTTATCCCAGTTTCAATTAAAGTACTTCCTTCTGATTTGCCAATGCCGAAGTTTGCTGAAGAATCGCTTCGGCTGGAACTTGCGGAGGATCTCCCTGTCGGGACCGAGATAAATGTCTTTCAGTCTGAAAGAACACGGCCTGTGATCTATAGCCTTGTAAGAGGAAACACTCCTGAGAGCAACAAAGATGATGTGTTTGTCATCAACAGCAACACTGGAAAGCTAAAACTGGCCAAACGACTGGACTATGAAGCTATCAAATGGTTTCATCTCTCCATCCAGGTCCAGTGCACTGAAGCTCCCTTGGAAGTAATCTCGGTCATAGATGTGAACATACATTTGAAGGATATAAATGATAACAGCCCACAGTTTGACTCCTTCCCCTACCAGTCCTTTCTTGTTGAGAACTTACCAGGAGGGACCTCAGTGGTCCAAGTGAGAGCTACTGATCTGGACTCTGGAGTGAACGGTCTGGTCACTTACAGCCTAGATGAGAATCAAGAGAGCCCCGAGGTTCTGGAGTTGTTTGCTGTGGACAGTGAGACAGGCTGGGTCACGACTGTCACAGAGATAGACAGAGAAAAGAGAAACAGGTACAGAATAGCGATCATTGCAAAAGACAGAGCGCCAGAGATACACATGACTGGCACCACCGTGGTGGAGGTGACAGTGGTGGATTTAAATGACAACCCTCCAGTCTTCACTAAGGCAGTGTACAAAGCCACAGTGAGGGAGGATGAATCTACACCCGGCACCATCATAACTGTTTTAAGCACCACTGACTCTGACAGTGAGGAGGTCAACAGGAGGTTCAGCTGCTTCATCACAGGTAAGGCATGAAATACTGGGTAACAACTTATTGTAGGGCAGTGTTCATAAGCCCTTCATGACAACTGACTTAGATCTACATAAATATTGATCAGCACTTGTTCCAATAGATGTCAGTTGTCATAAATGTTGCATGTTTTTTTTTTACATTAGGTTGTGTCATGACACTTTCTGGGATGAAATAACGCCCAGCACAGTGTATGTCACAGTGACAGTCTTGATAATGAGCTTGTTGAGTCAGGCTGGTAACACAAACGTGAATATTTTCTGTGGCTCTTGGGTAAAGTGAGCTTCATTTGACCATTTATCATTTAAGCTATGTTACATCATAAGCATTCACCCCCTTGGGCATTTCCATGTTTTGTTATCATAGAATGTTGAGTCAAAGTGGATTTAATTTAAAAGAAAAAATAGCCTCTTTCATGTCAATAAGAAAACAGATCTCTGCAAAATGATTTAAATTGATTACAAATTTAAAATACTATACCTAATTGCATTCACCCCCTTTAATATCAGTCTCCTAAAACATCACTGGTGCAGCCAGTTGGTGTTAAAAGTCACATAAGTAGTTAAATGGAGATCACCTGTGTGCAGTCAAGAAGTTCTGAGAGATTGAATTATAAATACACCTACATCTGGAAGGTCCAACTTCTGGAAAGTTAGTATTATGGCTAAACCTACACCAAGAAGAGAAAAGAACATTGCCAGAAATTCTGTGACAAGGTGAATGAAAAGCACAACTCAGAAGGTGGATACAAGAACGTTTCTGAGCCCCTGAAAATCCCTTGGACACTAAATCTGTCATTAAGAAATGGAAAGATTGTGCCACATCTGCAAATCTGCCAAGAACAGGTCGTCCAGAAAAACTCAGTGACCATGCAAGAAGGAGACTAGTGCAAATAACTGCAGTGTCCAAATGAGCAAAGCTTAAAGGAACCTTTCCACTCAGACTTAAGGCTGTGATTGCTGCAGGCACATCTGCTAACTACTATCTACTGACTTGAATAAACTTGAATGACTTATGCAATCAGATATTTTTTGTTTTATATTTGTAATTAATTAAACCACTTTGCAGAGATCTGTTTTAATTCTAGCATGAGTCTGTTTGTGTTGTTCAGTGTAAAAAAAATAAGTAAATACATTGGATTCAAAAATAACATATGAAAACTTCCACGGGGCTGAATACTTTTCAAAGGCACTGTATAGTAAGCTTCAAAGTCAGTTGTTAAATTGTGCTATGTGACTGTATTCAAAAAAACGTCATGACAAAAATCAGTGTTACCTGCTATATGTGTTACATCAACCTGACATCAAAGTTGCCAAAAGCATGATGGTGATGCCTATTGCAGGAAGCTTTCATAAGTGTTTAGGTAGGTTTGTGTCACAATGAGTTTATATGGACTGTTCTACTGAATTAGTTCAAGCTACTAAAAAAACACTTAAGTACACAGACCCTAGATATTTAAAATATTGTGTTATGATCTATTTAAACACATTAATTGAGATAGTAATAAATTAATTGAGATGGTAATAAGTAATAAGTTAAAAAAAAAGTTATGTTTAACAAGCGAAATATAAATTATCATTTATAGAGTACTTTCTATTGGAAGGTGTTTGTCCCAAACCCTAGCCTTTAAATTTCAACCTGTAAAAAATAATGATTAAATATTTTTTCAATGTTGTTTTAAAGAATCTTTTTTATTTCTTTTAAAGTGAAGTTGAAAGATTTAAATTTGTCACAAGTTAAATTTTTAAATTAAAAAAAATGCTGTCCCACATTTAATATGACTACCAAAACACAGAGTTTTAGTCCATAGGCGGAGACTTATTTTAGCTACACCCCTGCATTTTAGAGCAGGAAGTGAGACTGCATCCCTGATGGCCACATGGTGACCATTATTTTAAAGTAAATGTGTCCCAAAATCTGAAAATCAGTGTCTAACATTAAAAATTGTCACTACCGAAACACATTTTCTGCATCTAAGTAAACTTTTTTTGTTCTAATGAAAAACATGAACTTCTCTGTGTATAACTGTTCAAAGCTGTTTGCTTGTCATGTATTTACTAGTGTTTTGGGTTGTGTTCAACATTAGCTAAAATTGTCACTACCAAAACTGTCACTACTGAAACATTTGTTAAAGTTCGGTGGTGTTATGATTGTTTTGTTAGTAGAAGGTTCAATCATTCATTAAAAAATAAACACAATAACTATAGAGGGTCCCTCAAAGCAACAGGATTTTAGTCTAAAGTCCAAGTCAGTAAAAATTTGAAATGTGTTTTGACCTTGAACCAGTTTGGTAGAATGATCCATATAGATGATCCACATGTAGCTTCATGAATACTGCTCTACAGTAAAGTGTTATTGTTATTATGTATTGTATTATTGTGGATGTAATAATGTAGCAGTGCATTCTGACGCATCAATCTAAGGGTGTCAGCTCAGATTTATTAAATTTGGAATGTTTGAATTGATTACAATAAATCAGCTCTATTCATATTGTTGCTGTAGGAATTCCAAAATAGTAACTTTTCGAAAAAAAGGAAAAATATTCTTAAGTTTAACGTTGGATGATGCAGCAATATTTTATTGTAAGTAATTTTGGGCTATTTCTTATCGTCTATTCATTACGAGAGTTTTGCATGATGTAAAAGGGCACTGATGCAAATGGAGTAAATGAATAAAAACAAGCAAACAAACCAACAAATAAATTAATAAACGTAATAGAGAGTATATGTTATATTGTAAAAAGTACGTTCTCAATTTTTGGCCAAAATAAAATTCTTGGGCTATTTTTGAATGTAAAAATGCATGAACAGTTTGGTGTACTGATTGTGTAGATGTGTCATCCTGTATATAAAAAACTAAAACAAAAAATCTAATGAAATCTTATTGAATTGTGATGAAATTTTGGATTTCATTGTGCATTGAATCATTTTGTAAAGAATCATAGTTGAATCGAATGGGGTCAGAGATTTAAACCTGTCTTTTAGGAAGGTTTAAGAAGACTGAAAAGCACTTGACTTTGAACTGGTCCACAGGGAAATAATTCCCCATGCCAAGCACCTTGCATTGTTGCTGGACGTTTGATGCTGCACATAATGAATAAACAGTAATAAAAGAGATGTATGGGGTGAAGTTCAGTAGAGAGAACTTGATTAGAGAAATTCTGAGTCCACTGAGGAATGCCTCATTTCATTACTTTCCCTGTTGATAACTGTTTATCTTGTTGGCTGCAAGAAAAAAGAGCTGTGTCCCAGACCTATTTAGAGCAGTGGTAAATGTTACGCTGTTAGACTTTTAATATCTCTCATTTTCATTTCCCTTTAGCCTGAGGTACTATAAATGTTAAAACTTTTTTTCTGTGTGTGTTCAGGTGGAGACCCTCAGGGCCAGTTTAATCTGGAATATGAGGATGGTGCTTGCATAGTCGTGACTGCCAAGACACTGGACAGAGAGGACAGAGGGCACTACCTTTTAAACATAACAGCCACAGATGGAACCTATATGGCCAGGACTGCTGTAGAGCTCACAGTTCTTGATGCAAATGACAACAGCCCTGTATGTGAGAAGGTATCATTTATAGTCCTCACTTATGAAAATGGTCCTGTGTTGGGCCTGCTGCCAGGACAGCTGTGAGTCATAGCCAAATAAGATAGCATTTCATTTGAGCAGCATGCAAAAGCTGGCCTAACACATGCAGCTGTCAGCGGAGGAGTATTATTTTTTATGCGTTTTCCGATATGTCTCTGGTATTAGCCTCAGCTGTATTGTGTCATAGGATCTGTACGCTGGAACGGTTCCAGAAAATGCCCGGGCAGGAAAATTCATCCTACTCGTTTCAGCCTCTGATCCAGATATCCAGTCAAATGCTGAAATTACATACCGACTTGCAGGAGATGGGGCTGAATCATTCAGAATGGACTCTGCCACAGGTAAAACAGCCTCTTAGCATGCATGATATGTTCTAAAGTACACCGTCGAAAGTCAAAGAGTAGCACTGTCAAATGTTGAAGTGCGCCATGAAGTGCAGAGAAATATGCTAGTATGCTACTGGCATACAGATGTAGAGCCACACAGTTTGATGTTACCTGTACAGTTTTCCTGTAACATTGGTTTAATGGCATAGTATAACCTTCATTATCACATCTTTCAGCAATTAATAACTTTACCATTAACAAACTACATATTATTCAACAGTTACTTCTACTAGTGTTTCTATAGAATTATAGTAGTTTTGTTAATGCTAAGCTAATTCACATGCACACTTTCGGACAAGGCTGAAGTTAGCCTCTTATTTGAATTTTCAGTTCCACCTTAAACAGTGCAGCAGTGCAGCAGAACAGAAAGTTTGTTGCCAACAGAAAGTAACTGCCTCACCTTTAAGGTGGGATGGAAAAAACTGAAAAAAGGCAGTTCCAGATTTAACACAGACATTTAAATCATCTAAAAGACATTACTTTTTACTTTTTGCTGCTTTACGTGAAGCTTGTGACTGACGTATTAGCATACAGTTTACCATGTAGCAGTTTCACAGTGACTCTTTCAGTAGAGAGGCCTGATATAGAGCTGCTGCCACTGTTTTCCATTTTTAACAGCCCACTGATTGGGCTGCCGCTCGTATTCAGTCAGTGACGCATCTAGGACATCCAGAAGGCTTAGAGTGATGTTTTTTCTTCCAAAATTGGTCCTGCATATTAGAAATCAAAGAGTGGTGGTTGATTCTGCTGTCACTTTGTAATTATGCTGATAGTTAATCTAAGGCGTTAGAACTTTAGCTCCAGTAGGCGAGCTTGCTTAGCCATATCTACCTAGATACGTCAGAGAAAAACAATTTCTAATTCACCGTTTTCCACTTTCAAGTGACATTTCAAGAATTCAACCATTTTGTTTCCATCCAAAACTTAACAATGAAACTAAAATAGTTCTAATACTTGCAGAGTCTAAATACAAGCATTATTCTGTTTAATAAAAATTAACTAAAAGTTACAGATGCACATTTCTTTTTTTTAAATCCCAGAAGTCATTAGGCCTTCTCTGCAGGCCTAGTAGGCCCTGAGGGTTCCCCTCCAGTTTACAGCAAACTATTTATGACCAATATTGTCAAGTCACAGCTATTTTTCTGTTGTGATTGTATTGAGTATTTTTATATGTTCTATAATGAATTTGACATATTTTCATATTTCTCTACCAGGCACTCTAAAGACACTGCTGCCTCTTGACCGAGAGGAGAGAGATGTATATAACCTTACAGTGCAAGCAGTGGATGGGGGAAATCGCTCCTGTCAGGTTGACGTTGTCATCACTGTAGAAGATGTTAATGACAATGCTCCTGTGTTCACCTCTGACCTGTACTACATTAGCGTATTTGACAACACGCAGCCTGGGGCATATTTGGCACGTCTACAGGCATCTGATGCTGATACTGGTAAGAATGCATGTTTGACATGATGAATCTCCTAGGTGTTCTCAGGAAACCCTCTTCTTACTTTTTGTTTCATTATTTCTCATTCATAGCTTATAAAAATAAGCAGAGAAATGTACTTTCAAAAATGTACTTTTATTTATTTGAAGTTGATGAAAGGTTAATTTTATGCATGCAGTCATTTAAGGAAAGAAAATCCACATCCATAGATTTTTGCCTTTATGCCATGTTGACAAGGAAATAAATGAAAGACAGAAGTGTCCACTGAAGCTTAAACAGAATATAAATCAAATGAAACAGTACAGTTGTATGTGGACATTTCACACCTAAAAGGTAACACACCATTTGCATGGAACGAACTTAAATATGATACATTTTTATGAGCGATTAACATTTTCTTGTTGAATTTAATATACTGAAAAAACATTCAATGTGACGTGCAAAAGTTTGACCACCCTTTTGAATAGTCACACTCGACTAGTGTTGTTCTTCTGCAAGGTCTCAGAGCTTATTTGACTCATTAGGCCATTAATCAAGACAGGTGTAGACAATTCCAGAGTTTAATAATTATGTGACCCTTCAAACCTCTTTGGATGCTGTGCTTACACTCAACAGCCATGGGCTCATCTAAGCAGCTGACTGAGGATCTGAATTGATCCTTACAAAGCAGGAGGCTGCTATACAATATATCTAAACACTTTCTGCTTGAAATTTTCACTGCCCAAATGTCATTAAACACTAAAGATTAAGGAGAACTGCTAAGGTCAAGACAAGATTTAGAAGACTAAAAAACAAAAAAACAAAAAACAGAAACACTACTCACATACTGGTCAGGTATGCAAAGCAAAACCCCTACATAACTGCCAATGACAGGAAGATTTGGCTGGTGCAGGAATTTAAGAATATGGTAATAACTATAGTCTTCTCAGACAGGTGTTTTTTGGAAGTGGAATTTGTTCTGTTGGTTTCTTATAATCGTAGAGAAAGAAATTGGTGTGCTTGCAGTGCACATATTTGCTTGCTGTGGAGGGTGATTGATTGGAGCAGTTTCTGCTCATATGGTGCTTGTTGTGTGCTGTCTTTTGTTAGGAGAGACACTCTGCTCACAACAGCATTCACGTCCAGCCTCGTCCTGAAAAATAATCTCCCACCGTGTTTGCTTATTTCCTGCATAGTGAGCAATTATGCTCTTATTGCAGTTCAGGTTCAAGCTGAGATTGAGAGGATCACACAAACAGCTCTTTGTCATTTAAGTCTGACATCAGTGTCCAGTCTCACTTGTATAGTTTGTCAAGCACTGAAATTACACCTGGTATTGGTATCAGGCCGATAGCAGCAGAAAATATTTGAATATCAGAGGGAAATAAAAGGAATGTATCAGATCCAATCCTGTAACAAATCTATGCTGAAAAAGCACGCTCACATTATGTGATGTGATGTTGTATGATGTGATGTCTTTTGAATATTAACAGGCCCATATCTTAAATGTTCTTTTTAGTTTAATATTTTCCTACTTATGACATCGGTGGGGGTTGTTGGTTCAAAAACAGTCATAATTAAACTTTACTTGACCATTTTCCAGCCTCTCTTTATCCTTTATAGTTAAACATGCTTTTCTATGACTTTAAGACTGCTATATGAAAAAAACAATAGAGCTGATTGGCTGCCCGCCTTCCACCCAATGACTGCTGGGATAGGCTCCAGCTCCCCCCGCGGCCCAGAAGGATAAGCGACTTAGAAGATCTCTACATCTACACTGGAGATCAAAATTAGAGAACAACACACAATTTCCTAAATGTCAAGGTCACTGTGTAGTCCTATGTGAATTTGTCCTAACAGGAGTAAAAGAGCAGTATTCTAAGCTTATTTAATGAGCTGTATATATTCTAAAGCACAGTATGAAAAACTTAAATGAGATAATTGAAAAAGAACACTGATCAAATTTAGAGAACACTTTCAGATACCTGCAAGTTATTGGTGTTAATCTGGCACCTGGTGCTAATGTCCTTAATTATCTGACAATCCCTGTTTCACTGGCAGCCTAACTTTCCAGTTCTCACTGACTTTGCAAGACGGTGAGCCGTTCCAAAGTGACTGAAACCCTCCGGCAGTAGATTGTACAGATGAAGGCCAAAGGGTGACCCTATCAGCCACAGCAAGAGAAGTGGGTCATTCCAAGTCTGTGATTTCTAGAGTATTGCATCTTTACAACATCACAAACTCATTCAAGTCCCCCAAGAAGGCTGGTCGCCCATGAAAGACAAATGCAAGAGAGGACACGATAATGCAGAGAATCTCCATGGGTAATCGGTTCAACACTGCAGCTGGAATTGCTCGCCAGTTCAGCACTGAACAGGGTAAGGAACTGTCTCGTCATACAGTGGCTCGACGTTTAAGAGCATTTGGACTGAAAGCCCACTCTGCAGTGACCAAACCTCTCATTAGCAGAAAGAATCAAAAGGCTAGACTAACCTTTGCTGAGGAGCATGTTGTGTGGTCAGAGGAGAAGTGGTCCAGAGTTCACTTTAGTGATGAAAGCAAGTTTAATTTATTTGGGTCTGTTGGGAAACATTTTGTTCGTCGACAAACTGGGGAAAGACTGAACCCAAAGTGTGTAAAGAAGTCAGTGAAAGGTGGAGGAGGAAGTGTCACGGTTTGGGGAATGTTTTTGGCAGCAGGAGTTGGACCTCTCATACAGCTACATGGCAGAGTGAATGCAAGTGTGTATCAGAACCTTCTTCAACAACACGTGGTTCCTTCCTTGCGTTCATCACTCAATCAGCCAGCAATTTTCATGCAGGACTATGCCCCCTGTCACACAGCAAAATGGGTAAAGCAGTTCCTTGAAACTGAAAACATTGAAACAATGAAATGGCCAGCCCAGAGTCCTGATCTAAACCCAATAGAAAACCTCTGGAAAATCCTTGGTGACAAAGTTATGGCCAAGAAACCCACAACAGTCACCGAACTGTAGAAGAGACTGCAAGAAGAATGGACCAAAATCACACCAGAGCAGTGTGAGAGACTAGTGATGTCCTGTGGCTGCAGATGTGCTGAAGTCATTCAAAGCAACGGCCTGTACGCTTCCTACTGATTGGTGATTGTTGTAACCTTCAGAAAATTTAGCTGTAATCTTTCTTTGTGCTACAGTCATTGCTGTTCTCTAATTTTGATCATTGTGTTTTCTGCAAATAATGGTTTTATGTTGAAGTACCTTGGTTATTTAGTAAAACGCTGTTCTAGTGGCATGATATACCCCTAACAAAAAATCCTTCAAATGTTGACCAATGACCAAGTGTTCATAAATTGTTCTCTAATTTTGATCTCCAGTGTACATACTACAGCAAATTCTTTAACTTCAGAAAAATTGACCCTTTAATTAAATACAAGCATTTTGTTGCTATTGAAGCTAGCATCAAAACCACTATGGATGGTGATTAAGTTAGCGGCCAGCCAACATTGCACCCCCCCCCCCAAAATACCATGAGGTATTTTTTACACTGCTTTAAGTGAAGTGCATCAATTGGTGCAAACCACCACTCTTATGAAGAACCAAAAGCCACTGGAGTGCTAAAAACTCCCTCTTTGGAGAATCTTCAGCCTGCTGAATGTGAATGAGTGAATGAGTGAGCTACAAACCAAGTCAGTGATTTACTTTGTACCTAAAATAACACTTTTTCTAAGCTTAGTAGTTTTTAAAGAAAATATTGGTAGATACTCAAAGTTTCAATATTGGAATTGGTCTAAAAATGGTACTGTGGCATCTTTAGTTAATACTACTTTATATTTTGAATTGTTAATATTACTTCATTTTTTGTTAACACTGTTTTAAACTTTTAGCTTTCCCATCATTTAAGTTCCTTTGTGATGTCTAAGAATCTTTAGCTCACAGGAAGATGGATTGATATGTGTTGTCTGTGCTAAGAGGAAGTTATGTGCTCACATTCCATCCCCCATTACACCCATTCTCTCCAAAGCCTGCAATCATTTTGTCTCTTTCACAAACACTATTGTGTGCACTAATCATTGGTGTAAACAACTGCCCGGGCGGATATCTCTAATCACGGCCTTATTCTTCTTGCTCATTTATGCCAGTTTAGAGTGGATTAAAATGAACAGCGTTTATTTATGAATGTTGCTTGATGGAACTGGAGATTGCTAAGTGATTAGGCTCAATTCATTCAGCTGTCAACAGAGAAATTTCAGCAGAAGAAACCAGTCAGACAAAATTGAGCTGGACAGCTGAGCAACACTAACAACTTGGACTGCAGTGAAGAAATAAACGTATGGCCAGAAGTGTGTACTTGACCATAAACTGTTAATTAGAAGAAAACAGACCACTATTTTTTATCCCAACTACACTAACTGACCACTTCATTTGAAACTCCTACCTTTACTGGTGTACAGTTAGAAACTATCTGTTGAGGCACAATTTGTGTTTGCCAACCTCTTGTCCTCTAGTCTAGTGGCTATTTGTGAGTGCTGGACCACCCTCAAACTAGCAGTGTCACTGATATGTTTAAAAAGAACAGCAACACAGAAGAACAGCAGGGGTTCGTAAACTTTTTGGGCAAATGACCTATGAAAAAAGATTTTCCATACGAGTGGTCTATAAATGCCTTTTAAAGAGGAATTCCACCAGCTTTTCAAAATTTCTGTATAACTCAATCATCGAAAGTCATTTAGAGTGCTTTGATACAAAATGCTGCATTATATGGAAACATACTGATGATTTCTTTACAGTGGTGGTAATTGGAACCAGGGGTTGCAATGCTACAACACTAATATTGTGTTGTAGCATTACATGTGCACATACATGTGACTTCTGAGTTTTGAAAATGGTAAAGAAAGAAAAAAACAGGAGAATGTCAGTTTCTCCCATGACCCCATTTGTAAAAATAGCAACCCCTAGTTTGGGAACCCCTGCAGTACCATGTCAATGTCACTGCTCTGCTGAGAATGATCCACCACCCAAATAAAATCTGTACAAGTGAAAACAAAGTCCTGTGGTCATAAACTGACCAATGATGGATGGAGTTGACAAATTGTGCATGACAACAGGGCTACAGTCTGTAATTGTCTGTATATATAGTTGACCAATAAGGTAGTCATTCCTAATAAAGTGGCCAGTAAGTTTAGTTAGCAAAAAAATAGCAGTGTGATCTGTTTTGCATCTAATTAAGTTTATGGTAGAGTACACATTTTTGGCCGTATGTTCATTACTTCACTGCACACCAAGTTGTTAGTGCTGGTCAGCTGTCCAGCCCAATTTCTGATTTGTCCTGCTGAAATTTCTCAGTTGACAGCTGAATGAATTGAGCCTAATGACTTTGCAGTCAAGGTAGGTGTTTCTAAAAATGTGGATACTATTAAATGAACGCCAGCATAAATATTACAGGCCCTTAATTATAGTACCTTTTTTAACCTTATAAGATGTGTGTTATTACTTTTGTTTTTCAAGGGTAAGGTATGCAGTGAATTCCATTCATATTTGATTTACATTCTGTATAGACAGGTTCGAGCCTACACTTAAGTCTTTTTTCTGTTTGTTTTGATCACAAGCAAAAATAACAACTTTTCATCAAATTCAAATCAGGATAAAATATCTCCTCTCCTACACAAACGTATCAATTGAAAGTTGACAATCTGCACTTTCAACAACAAGCTACAAGTGATGTATTGATGTCATATAACATCATGCTGTTGTTATCAGTGACGATAACTGCAAATTCTTATAAAGATTCTTATTGACGTTTGTTTTTTAGGCTTGAACAGTAAGATCAGTTATTCGCTTGAAGACTCTGCTGGAGGCCTGTTTTCTATTGAGGAGCAGTCTGGAATCATCAGCTTGGTGAAGCCTCTGAGCAGGCAGGTGATGGCTGTGTATAGGTTGCGAGTGCGTGCCGCAGACCACGGCTCCCCACGGACGCTCTCCACTCTTAGCTCTGTGGAGGTGACTGTACTGGACGCTAATCACCGCCCTCCGGTGTTCGAGCACAGGGACTACGTTTCCATGGTTCCTGAAGATGTTGCCGTGGGGACCCTGCTTCTGAGTGTCTTTGCTGCTAGCAGTGATGCACAGGCTAAAGCCCAGACCAGATACTCCATCACCAGTGGCAACGAGCAGGGAGCCTTCAGCATCGATTCCCAAACAGGTACCAACACACTGGTTTATACATGCACATACAGTGGCCTCAAAAAGTGTTTGAGCATGTGTGTCATAATGTATTGAGTTCATTGTGTTAGGAAGAAAAAGTCAAACAAAGTTTTAATCATTTTAAATCGACTGTTCTAGGACTGTCAGTGTAATTCTGACAGAGTGTTCTGTGAAAAGGCAGCCGGTGTGTCTCAGATCATTATTGTTAGGTCTGATTCTTTGCAGACTTCTGCAGGTTTGCATCCAAAATGCCTTTATACACCTCTGAGGTAATGATCCCATCAATGAGCAAAAGCTCACTGACATCACTGTAAGAAAAACAGCCCCAGACTTTTGGTCTTTCTGTGTAGTCTGGTTGGAATTCTTCTCCAATTTTACCAATTTTTACCAATTGTTAAATCATTAAAGTGTCCAAATATTAGTAATATATACTGCTGGTCACAAGCCTAGGAACACTGAGGTATTTTAAGAAATGTTTTCCTTGTCAGTTTGCAATAATTTATTACAACCCTATTTCCAAAACAGTTGTGATGCTGTGCAAAATATAGATAAAAACAGAATACAATGATGTGCAAATTATTTAAACCCTATATTTAATTGAAAATAGTACAAAGACAACAAACCAAATGTTTAAACTGAGAATTTTTTGAGTATTGAGCCCATTTTGAGTTTGATGCCAGCAACACGTTTTAAAAAAAGACTCATAAAGTTTTGGGTCACCCTTTATTTGGACGGTCCCCTATAGATGATCTACAGATACTTATGTCATTAAAAAACTTTCTGGTGCTGTTACTCAGTTGATTATCAACAACATTAAGGTTAGGGTTTGGTCTAGGAATAGGTGTAGGTTTTGCTTTGAGGTTAGGGTTAGGTTTAGGGTTAGATTTAATATAACAGCCCATTTAATCACACACATCTTCAAGTTCAGTCTCATTCAATAGATTTTCAATGGAGTGTTAGTTAAAGGATGGCTCTCTTGTTGAATAATTGATAGAAAAAATTGTCATGAGGACTAGACAGATGTCCTTGCAGTGTCAGTTTTTTCACGTTTCTCTGTTATTGTGGGGACATCTTGTGGGGAAATCAGTACTCACACACCCACGTCTTCCTGCCTGTCCCACAAACTTCACACACTCATCATATTTATCGTCACAAGAGGAGTCAAGTGTCTGGAATTATGGCCAGTACCCTCTCTCTGTCTCCAGGCAACATCTTTGTGATTGCTCCGCTGGATTACGAGGCAGCCCGAGAGCACTACCTGACAGTGAAGGCCATTGCTGGAGGCCAGGAGAGTCTGAGCGACACAGCCACTGTTACCGTCCACCTCACAGACGTCAATGACAACAGTCCTGTATTCAGCCAGGAGCTCTACTCAGCTGTAGTCAGTGAAGACTCCCAGCCTGGCTGCTCTGTGCTAACTGTGAGTGCTCTTAACTCATCATGTGACAGTGATATAATAGAACCTAATAGGGGTGCTGGTGTTACAATGCGCATATTAACACCTCAACGGGTCACTACTGTTTCTCATTATTGATATTTATTTTCTTTTATGAGCAATACAGGTTTGTATTACTTTTATCTGTTGAATATCTTTATTTTTTACTTTTTACTTAATGTTTTTCTTCTATACACCTTGTAAAGTAAGTGAATGAAAACTGCGTGATGCAGCACAATTAAAGAGAAAACCTCAAATGTTATCACTGTGTTGCGATAATGAGATAAAATTGTGAATTATGATACTTTGTGAAATATATGTTTCAATTATTAGCTTTAAATATGACAACAGTTTCTTGATTATGATAAAAAAAGACAAACACACAAAAAAAAACATTATTTACAGATTTAACATCAAATCGTACTGTCTTCTTGTAATGAGAACTTGGTAATATAAACTGGAAAATGTTACTAAACATCAGTTTACATGAGTTCAGATGTATCATTCAGGTTTATTTTTAATTATTCAACCAGACATCATATTTTTCAAGCTAGGTCCTAGAATTTGTCATGTTTGTGAAGATTACCCTTTTTGCCTTCTGTATCGAAAATGTGTCGTGTCATGATGCGAAAATAGAAATACATACTGTATTGTGAAATCGGTGTACCTAAACTGATTTGTTCTGCACTTCTGACCAGTTAAAATGTGTGGTCAGAACTACATAATTACAGCAGCTTTATATAGTGTTGTTTATATGCACTGTAATGATGTTCACTAATCTTTTTTAGGTAATGGCGAATGACTTTGATGGGCCTTCAAACAACCGCATCCATTATTCCATTGTGGATGGAAACCAGGACAGTCCGTTCATCATAGACGTGGTCAGCGGTGTACTGAAAGTGGCTCGTCAATTAGACAGAGAAAAGGTAAAGCTTTCCAAACTCTCTGGAGAGTAACTTTCCTTTCTCCTTGCCTTCTAATAAAGACAAGCACTGACTCACTTTGAGACAGACTAGTCTTTGAACTGTTTGAAGTCTTAACTGTGTTTTACTTAGCTGAGGATGAGTCCAGTTAAGTTCTTTTTTCCGTCTTTGTTTAAATTAGGTTGGTGGGTACAAGCTCACCGTTCTGGCCTCCGACAGCGGAAATCCCCCCAAATCCAGCAGCGCAGCAATCAACATGACAGTGGCTGATGTGAACGATAATCCACCTGTCTTCTCGCAAGCTAACTACAGCCTCATCATCCAGGTACAGCCATGCTGTCATAGCGAATGGGCCAAATTGAAGCTGACAAACTGCTCTATTCTCCGCAGTCCATGAGTGACTGAGCTTTCAGCAAGAGTGGATGTGACGATCCCTCCTGGCTTATTTGAATGAGTTTTTCTTTCTTTCTATCTCTCTTTCTCAGGAGAGCCTGCCTGCAGGGGCCTCTGTCCTCCAGCTGAGTGTGACGGACAGAGATGCCCCCCAAAATGGCCCCCCTTTCTCCTACAGCATCTTGAAGGGCAACGAGGGAAAATCCTTCAGCATAGACCGGCAGGGAATCATTAGGACCACAACATCGCTGAGGAGTTCAGAAAAGGATCAGTACGTCCTCCACGTCCAGGTGAGGACACGTCTGTTTGCTGTTTAACAGTGCAGAATGTGATTTTTTGGGGGGGTGAGATTTTCAGCCTGATATTTTTATTTGAGATTGCATATATTTCAACATTAAAACAAGCACAGAATCATCTGGAGTTACAAAAATCTCTTGTAAGTGGCACAAAATACATAACATTGCTTCATTCTAGCCTTTAATCCTTTGTCCAAACCACCACCACCAACAACAACAATGCCATTTATTGGACCAAGGGAGTATTTCACAAAGCAGTGAGCCAGATAAATTAAGCCCAAAGTTGAGGATTGTCCAATAAGAATGTCTCTCAGCTCAGACAGACTTGCCTTTAGGCTTAAAGGGGAATTCCACTGATTTTTCAAAATTTCTGCATAGTTAAATTATTGCAGTGTAAACAAAGGCATTCAGAGAAACTCCATTCTGGAGAAAATCACCAAGTCAGAATTGTTTACAGTGGTGGTGACAGGAACCAGAAGTCAAAGCTTTTAATGCCTCTGAAAGCTACTACACTGTCAGAAAAAAGGGTAGTGTACAGGTACCTTTTCATACACTAATGTTGTAAAACAGAACAATAAAATAAAAAGCCTGGAGACAAGACTGTATGTGGAGTCAATACAGCTTCATAAATTATGTTCCCTAGATTCAGGTACTGAAAATGTAACCTTGAGGGTACCACCCCAGTGACAAGTTTAGTACCTTTTTTCTGTGAGTGCACACAGAATGTGAGAAATTCTGCTTTATGAAATGCTGAGTGGGTTTCTTTTCAAACTAAGATTTACATCTCCAGAGCGCCCTCTCCTGTTGAAAAAATACAATGACCTGCAAGTTTAAGAATCCCAACATTACGCTGCTTAATAAAGAAAATAAAGTGATGCATTAACTTTTTTTTTTATTCAAATGTGTGCATAATTTCACATATAAAATAGAATACATGAACACTTTTATTACAACTTTTAGATAACTCACTTTTAGACAGTGTTCAAATTACACATTGGAGGGGGTCTCATTAAGATGGGTCTTGTCTGTTTTAATGTTAAAACACATACACAGAGCCTTACAGTACAATGCATTGTTCTGTGTTGTAAAGTGGAACATACAGTACGGTTTTAGGTTGTGTCCAAACTTTGGCACTGCTTTCAAGGTTGGAAAACGCTGGAAAAAACAGTGAGCCTTCTAATGATGCACTGGTGCCTATAGATATGTTGTTTTGTTTGCTGTATGCTCTGAACCTGACAAATATTCCTGATATATCCTACAGGCTCTCCCAATCTTTAATTTACCCTTAACCCATCTAATCAAGGACCTTCATTTAATTTTCACAATATAACATAATCTGTCCATGATTACACCTCACAAGATCCACAAGTCCAGCCAAAATACACCTACAGTGGGGTCCAAATGTATGAGACCACTTGTGAAAATGTGAAAATACAAAAGTTGTTCATTGTAAATTATGTTATCAGCATAACAATGTGAGTGAAAAGTAGAATCTTGGAAATATTGACATGCATTTCAGGTTTTCTTAGGATTTGGTATGCCCCTGTTTTGCTTGAGCTGGCATGGACAAGTCCAGACATCCACAAGTTTGTGCAAAAGATCAAACTCACCTGAGAGGAGACTGAACATGTGCTTCAAACAAACAGTCTGACCTTTTTGTACAAAGGCCTTTCATATAAAGTTTAATAGTGACCTAGAAATAGTGCAGAATCTTAAATATTTCTTCATCAGTTATCTGTCATGTATTTTTTTTCATTCCAAACTTTTGGACCCCACTGTACATGTGCTTACAGTAGCACAAACACACAAAAACAGAGGCATGTTTTAGGCATGTAGGGTGGTCATTGATCTGTGTCATATTTGCATTTGCCCTGCATGTTGATGTTATTATTTACAGTCATATGCAAAACTTTGAACACCGGCAGTCAAATTATATGTTTTGTTGATTTTCTAAGTAAAAATAATACATACCCACTTAAATATGACATTTTTCTGCAGATCTTAGAGTACAGCTCCTATTTATTTGATGCACTGTTTTTACCTGATTTGAATTTGTGCATAATTTCTACATGAATAAAATATATTACATCAACACAATGTGTTTCCATCAGTTTACTTTTAGACACTGTTTGAATTACACTCTGACTGGGTCTCATAAAGACGTGTCCAGTCTGTCATTCTGTATAAACACATATGCAGAGCCATAAGTTTTGTGCTATAAATTTTGCATAGGCCACATTTTATGTTTTCTTTTTTCCAATGTGTCAAATTCACCAATTAAACAGTGATTGTGCATTAAAATGTGTTTTACAAAGCTTTGGAATTTGAACAGGGGTGTCCATCATTTTGCTTGTGACTGTATATAGAGCACTGGTTTATATGTTTTATATACCAGTATTTTCTGTTTATTGTCAGGTCTCTGACAGTGGGAAACCTCCTCTCCAGTCATCCACCCTTCTTAGCATTCGTGTGGCACAGACCAGTTTGTATCCTCCATCTGTACTTCCTCAGGAAGTGTTCATTCTGGTCCCAGGAGAGGAGTACCCTGCAGGAGGCATTCTGGGAAGAGTCCACGCCACTGATCCGGACAAGTATGATACGCTCACATACACCCTGCAGCCTCCAGGCCATGACCTGATCTCTGTATCTGGCTCTGATGGCCGGCTGCTGGCCCGGCGGGGGCTGGACGTGGGCCGCTACCCGCTCAATGTGTCGGTCAGCGATGGGCGCTTCTCTTCCTCAGCCAGTATCACGGTGCATGTGTGGCAGGTCACTCAGCAGATGCTAGACGGTTCCGTGTCTGTGCGCTTTGCTGGCATCACTGCTGAGGATTTCATCCAGGAGCACTGGAGGAACTTCCAGAGAGCAATCCGAAGCGTCCACAGCAGGGCTGGACCTTACACTAGACAGAGGTAGGCAGCCACCTAGGACCCCAAAGAACCCAGGGTCTCATACAAATACAACCAAGATAAAAAGAAAATTGATGTTAAATAGCATATGACAAAATGTAAAACCCTAAAAAATACTATTAGGCCTGCAACTGACGACTCCATAGTTGATTAATCTATCAGCTATTAGTTATCTATAAACAATTAATCTATGGACTATTAGTTGATTAACTGACCAAACCATCCTGCTGTTTTGTTTAACCTTGGCCCGTCACAGCGCCCATTTTTTCCATCTGTGTGACCAGTGTTTCTTTAATAGACAGCACAATATCGCCCCCAACACTTCTTTTAGTGTATTGCAGTCTGTCACAGCGCTCCTGTGTATCATATAAACATTCTGAATGATTATAGAACACTTGTTTTTAATTAAACAACACATCAATGCACATTTTTCTATAATCAACACTTTTTTATACAAACGACTGCTAATTAACTTTGTTAACTAAATGTTTTAGTCCTGTTTGCTTCTCTCTTAAATAAAGGGCCACAAAGTGTTCTTTGATGGATGGCAGAGAAGAACCACTTTTACTGCCCTAAAGAAACATGTTTGAAAATGAGATTTGTGTCTTCACATGATATAAAGCTTCTTTACCTTTAAACGGAAATTCCTCTGATTTTTCAAAATATCTACAATTCAGTGGTTGAGATTCATTCAGAGCCATTCAGAGTGGTTTGATATGGTTTGAAATGGTTTATTGTAAAGAAACTTACCAACTTAGATTTCTTTACAGTGGTGGTGATAGGAACCAGGGGTCATGACTACAATGCAAATATAGCCATTTTATTTTCTACCCAAAACCTCTACAGGTGTCTGAGCTTTTATATGCAATATTGTTGATGGTGAAACAATGGTAAACCTGAAAAAATATGATTTCTATGGCAAAATATTTTGCCTTACACTGTCCTGCATGTAATTCTCCACTGTAAATAAAACAGTAAAGTTTCTCTAGGCTAGAGCGTTTGACATCAAACTGCTCTGAGTGACTTGGTTTACATCAACCATTTAATCATGCTGACATTTTTACAAATCAGTGTAATTCCTCTTGAAGGCTTCTTCCTAGAACCTTTACATCATGTGGAGGCTCTTTAAACTTTAAAAATGTTATTCATATTCACATCTGAATCACAAAAAATGGTTCTCCAAAGAACCTAAAGTGGTTCTTTGATGGCATTGCGCCAAGATGAATATAGGGAATATTTTCAGTACTGTTAAAGCAGTGACAAAATTATATTCTATGACTAATATTCTGAGAACTGATATAAAACATAAACTAATAAAGGATTAAATGCACTGTATTGCCTTAATAGCCACCACTACAGTGCGTACATGTTATGAAATGAATAAAGGACCATAAAACAGTAGTTTCTTTCAAATTAAAGGGATGACTGTGACAACAGGCATTGAGAGACCTGTGGTACCAGACACCCGAACCCTACTTAGTCTGAGGATCCTGCAGAATTAGACTACGGTTGGCATTGTCTCTCTGATGGCTTTCATACCATCTACAACTCTTCTATTTATGAAGCAAATTATTTTTCATCTTATATGTATGTGCATTACTGTATTAGTTGTTCTTGTTCTTATCTTTGCCTTGAGCCTCAAAATGATGAAATCTGCCTACAGAAGCGACATGCAGATCCTCAGCCTGCAACCCGTGGAGCCTGATGGTGATCTGGATGTGCTGATGTTATTGGAGAAATCGGGAATTGCTGGCTCTTCCCTGGAGCTCCTCCTGCAGAACCTCAACACCTCCAGGGCAGCTCTACAGGAGCTGAGTGGCCTAAGAGTGCTGAGGGTTATGACCCGTCACTGCTCTAAAGCAGAGTGTCCAGACCACTTGTGCAGGCAAGTGGTGACCCTGGACTCCAGCAGCATGGTGGTGTACAGCACGGCCAGAGTGAGCTACATCACTCCTCATCACCACATCACTCCCAGCTGCCTCTGCAAAGGTACAGGTTATTGTTGTATGTTATTGTATCTGTATTAGGGGTGCAAAGGTCCAACCTCACCTATGCTGTGTCTGTATTGCTGTATTTTCTTTCTCTCTTGTTTGTTTTAGATGGAAAATGCCCTGAACAGATTCAAGGTTGTGCCAGTAACCCTTGTCCCGATGGTTATCGTTGTGTGTCTCTTCAAGGAGAGAAGAAATATCGCTGCGTTTGTCCATGGGGCAAAAATGAAAAATGCTCAGGTAAATTAAAGCATCTTTATTCATGAGTACCATGAAAAAAAGGCTCCTTGATCCAGATACTGCAGGTGCAGAGTTATAGAGAGAAATTAACTAATCAATAACAATTTGCAGACACTTACGAAGTGAGTGCAGTGTCCCAGTGACTCATTAAGTGAAATAATACGCCACTCGTTTGATCATACATGATTTGCAGCTTTACTTGTTACGCAGTACAGCTCTTACATGAGTAATTAAGCTAAGTAGGTATTTAAATAATGGGTGTCAAACATGACAGCTTTGGCTTAAATAGAATGCATGAGGTGTTTAAGTGTTAATCACTGAGGAGATGACTGAAGTTCATTCAGTGGAACTCATTCAGTCTTTCACTCACCTGCAGCTGTCATTTAAGTCTGTGGCAGGATGTGTGCATGTCCTCTACAACAGGGTGCACAAACTTTCTGTCTCAGGTGGCCAAAGTGTGATGACAATGTTGGGCGGAGGGCCAAACAGACAAAAGCTTGTTAGCCTTACATTTTTCACACTTGGTCAGTATTCCACTACACTGTTAGAAATAAAGATTCTCTGCAGGTACATTTTTCATTTATCAAGGTACAAACAATGTAAATGTACCTTCCATTGTACACAAGTGGTTTTAAGGTCCAATTGTGCACCTTAAATAAGTTTTTCCAATAATCCAATGGATTATGGTACAATTATGTTCCCTGACTGCAGGTACTGAGACGTACCTTTGTTTATACCACCCCAGGGACAACAGGGGTACTGCCCCAGTGACAGTTTCATGCCTTTTTTCTAAGAGTGTATGTGAAAACATTTGAAGCGTGTGTGCTTTTAATACTGTTGATGAATGTTGTATTCTTTAAATACTGCGATGGCTTCTTTACAAATCATCTGTTTCTGTCATTAGCTTAAAACTGGCAGCTACATATGTGTTGTTACATCTGCATTGTGGTTAGTGATGCGTGGTGTTAGACTGTGGTGTTAAGAGTCATAGACTTCTAGAATTTTACAAGTTTTGTTTTATAACATTGGACTCTGTGTTTTGTTGCGAAATGCATATGGAAATCAAATCTTGAAAGAAAAAAAACAGAAGTGTTTATTCTCTTAATGCGTGAGGGGGTAGGGGGAGTTAGGGCAACTTTTTGGCCTTCTCCAATTCAAACTTTCTTGAAGGCCATCTCTGGCCCACTGGTCTCACTTTGGGCAACGCTGATTGAAATAATCTTTAGAATCTTATAATATCTATTAATCTTGGCATAAGTAAAATGTGTATTCATGTGAATAATTAAAGCTGCAAAATGTCCTAAATGTGTTAATTATCTGTAGATATTTGCTGAATTATGCATTATAAATGATGTAGAATGAATTTACTTAACAGTAGATAAAATGTATTGTTAAATGTAGCTGAAAGAGCATTATTTTGAAAAAAAATAGAAAAAAACAAACTGATTTTCAGCATTTATCTTAATCCAGTTGTTTTCACCTCCATGCCTAAATTAAAAAAGGACAACAGAAAAGAGATACTTTTCCTACTTTTTCACTGACATATGAAAGCATGTATGTATCATTTTAAACTAGTTGTATTGGTAAAGGTTTTGGACAAGCTTACCAAGAATACAGAGTATCACTCCGCTTTTGTCTCATGTGGTTTGTGTTGTAGGAGGAGCAATAATGACATTCAGTGAGAACAGCTATATCAAGTATCATCTGAGGAGGAGCACTAGAGTAGAAATGAAGTTTTCTCTGAGGTTAAAAACTTTTTCCAGCCATGGAACAGTGATGTTTATGAAAGGAAGAGGTTACATCCTTCTGGAGGTATGAAAAAACACAGACAATCAACAACACACAAAGCCTGCTTTTTGGACATCAACAACACACAAACCCTGCTTTCTAGACATCAGGAACACACAAGGCCTGCTTTCTAGACATCAACAACAGACAAAGCCTGCTTTCTAGACTTTGGTCAAATGTAGTAAACCTTTTCCAATATTAAAGAGCTCATATAAGAAAAAGGTAAACTTACCATGCTTTTTTCAATAAAATATTGATCTCCCAGTCCATGGAGTCCATATAAAGTAAGCTTCCAAAAGATACTGTTTTAAATTCACCATGGTTGTGATGTCGCAACCATGAGCACAGTTATATAAAACAGGATATTCAGCCGACAGCAGTTTAGCCAGTTATTCATGGTGAAATGACAAAAAGTGTCTGCAAAGGTATTGGAGTAAAATACATGGGGAAAACAATTAAACCTTGTGCTGTTCCTGGCTGTCGGGAAGCACATTCACAGTCTTCAAAAGGATCCACATATCCAAGATTTTTTCTAGTGTCCCTGAAAATTTCAATTTAATACTGAATTCAAATTGAATTTAATACTTTTTTGTACATTTCAGCCTGGATTACTTTTTGAATGAGGCACAACATAGGGCAGCCAATCAGAACCAAGCTAATTTACATACAGTTGTTTGCAAAGGTTTGAAAACCTGTGGTCAGATTACATGATTTGTTGATCGTCTACAGGGCACAAACTTAAATATGGCATTTTTCTTCAAATTTTAGTGCACAGTCTCTACGCATTTGCTGACTTTAACATATTGGAAAAAAGATATGTGTATATGAAATGTGCTGTAACTTTTTCTGCTTTAATTTTTCCCAGTATTTCCCAAATGCCCATGCTGTGCTGATTTCTCTCTGGCCTGCAGGTGATAGGAGGCAGGCTGCAGTGTCAGTTTGACTGTGGGAGTGGGCTTGCCACCATGTCCGTCCACAGCGTTGAGGTGAATGATGGTGAGTGGCACTCAGTGAAACTGGAGTTAAAGGATAACCGTGCCAGGCTGGTCCTGGACCACCTCCACTCTGCATCGGGTGTTTCACCTGGCGCGCTGCCCTGCCTTGGCATGGATAAGCAGGTGATCCTGGGCGGACGCGCAGGCCTGTTGGGCTCCAGGCCGAGGCGCAGCCTGCCTCTCTCTGGCAGCCTGCAGGGTTGTATGGACACAGTGCTGTTTAATGGACAGAGTCTGTTCCTGCAGTCAGAAAGCCTCTCAGGGGTTGTGGTTGAGGACACGGTAGGAGTGACTCCGGGCTGTGGCATGAGCTCAACCCCAGGCCAGGACTGCACAAGCAACCCCTGCCTCAATGGAGGAAGCTGCTCTCAGAGGCCCAGTGGAGGTAGACTGAGCTCCACAAACATTGATCAAAATAGTAGTGTAAGAGTAAACCACTATACAACATTGAATTCTCAAATGCATCTAGGAGCATTAACAATCAAACTCATGCACTTTTCACTTTTCACTTTTCACATCTCACACTATCTAACTTTCTTTAAAAAGACAAGATTTAAAAAAGAATCGTGTCGCTTTTTATTGCATTAGTGTTTATTTGTATTCATTCTAATGTTACAGTAAGCCCATATATTCAATATAGTATTGTATAATATAATACTGTGCAAAGACTGTCTTTCATGTATTTCATTTCCAGCCAAAATAAAAAAAGGAAACATGTACATGGAAATCACGCTGATTAAATCTGATTAAATATAATATCACTAAATATAACAGCAATTTTTTTAGTATTTTGTCCACTCTTTTTCCTTTGATGACTGGACTCCAGGGTGGTCAGTCCATTTGCATTTGCAGATTTTCTCCTTTTTTTTCATTTCTCAGTAATGGCTTCTTGACAGCTACACATTATTTCACATTCATGGCATTGAGTTCTTCTCACAGTAGAAGGATGGACAGAAACACCTGTGGATTTTTTCAGATGTGAAGCAAGAGTGCAGTTTGATTTTCTTCTCTCTCTCAGAGATGAATGTTTTAAGTGCTGTTCAACAGAGTTTTGGTGGTCTACCAGGTAGTGTTGTAGTACTTGAATCCGACTCAGTCTTGACACCAATCTCAAGAACATAAACTAGTGGTTTGGTCTTGTCTTAGTCTTGACCTCATTTGCACTCATAAACAGAATAAAACAGTCCTTTCTCGGCATCAGGGATACCCAAACTTTTGCAATTCACAGCCCACACAAACAGCCACGGATTTAATCGATCAGATTGTCTTTTTCTGATTTACTTAATGAGAAGGCTGATTTGGCAGCTACCGAATGCTGAATGTCAGGCTGAAGTGAGGTAAAGCTACAAACACAGTTCTGCCTAAAATCTCCAGGTTCAGATACCTATTTGCTATGTTGTAAATTGGTGTAAGTTGTTGGTTTTTAAGGTTCATTTGAAAAGACCCCTGAGCAAACAGCTGTAGTTACTCGTTTTCAGTTCTCATGCAGGTGAAGCTCAGTGTTACATATTCACTGCTGTATTTCTTTCGTTTCAGTTTGTACGCCCTAAAAATATAAACATAATTAGCTAACATTTTTCCAGAATAATCAGTGAGCTCTATATAATGTTTTATTTTTGCAAATATAATCAACAATATTTGTCATATTTATGATGTTTGGTTAAATATTAGTTTTGTAATTAATTTTACATAAAAATGCAGTACCATCACAGCCCACTGGGGGCAGTAGCCCACAGGTTGAAAAACACTGTTGTATATGTTTAAATAAAATTTATTGTTTGAGGACCTAATAAATCCTTTCCAGGATGACTTAACTCTTGTTCTTGACTCAGAGTCACATTTTCTCTTTATTATTATATTTTTAGAAACAAATGTATTTTTCACTTATTTTCTTTTGACTTTCCTCTTCCACGTGCAAGTGGATTATCTTATATCTAATCCTCAGAAATATGTCCTGAAAAATGAATAACTTATGATTTACTGGCTGTCTTCACTGGAAATTAAATAAATGAAGGGTGGTCTCTGGACGTTTGGCAGTGCTCTTATGTAGTGCTTTTACAAGCAAAAACTCACATATTCCTCATAAACCATGTTAAACAGTTTTCTTAGCCTGAGACTCTTCATGTATACTGTCTGTTGAAGCCATTGCTAAGACGACTAAATGCTTCTCTTTTTGCAGGCTATTATTGCAGATGTAATAGTTTATTTGTGGGAGATCACTGTGAGCTCAGTATCAGCCCCTGTTTTTCCAACCCCTGTCTGTATGGAGGAACCTGTATACAAAATAATGAGGACTACTACTGCCGCTGCAGAGGACAGTACACTGGTCAGAGGTACAGTACATTTCTGAGTAAATGAATTATACACACTGAGCATCATTGTGTGCCTGATTACACTACAGGTTTTTGATCAATAATGTCTGTGTCACTAAAGATGCGAGGTAGGTCCATACTGCAAGGAGAACCCCTGCAGAAATGGTGGGCATTGTATTGACAGCCTGGATGGGCCTGTCTGTGAATGTGAACCTGGGTTCAAAGGAGAAAGGTCTGTATCAATATCTCATTTACATTTCATTACACTCCCCCTTCACTGTGTCTTTAGATCTTTGGATTTTAGATGTTATTTAAATGTCTGCAAATTATGTGTTTGACAGAATAAGATGCACTGTATTTTGAAATTAAATTCCCAGGGAACCTATATCAATTTTCATTCTAATTATATTATCTTGCTCTGTTGCACTTTCTGTGAATAGAGTTCATGTCAAGCCTCAAAACCCTTTAAAAATGAACTTTTTTCTTTGGTGGTTTTCAACAAAATATTAATCAAAGTAAGTACTTAGCATTCAGAGAATGTTATTCTCCCACCCCAGGCCGTCAATACAGTTAGCTGTATATAACTAGATAACCTAAATGACAAATAAATAACAAAAATGACTGAATAAAAGGGATGAAACCCAGGTAACAGGGCTGAAGCATGTAATGTTGAACACGGAGATCATATTCCCCATTAGTCATCACATTAGTGCAGTTAAAAAAATATATAAAGTATACAACATAGAGCAGTAGAGAAGGTTGAAAAACTGTTTTAATCAAAAATCTTTTCATTGAAATATTAATTTTAAGTCATTTTCATTTTATTTTCATTTAAAAATATTTGAAAAAGGTCTGATATAAAATTTAAATTAAAAAATGGCTAACAGTGTTGATCATTTAAGTGGTTAGCATCACAGGGTACACATGTTGCATGCTAACTACTAATAACCATATAGTTTACGTACATTAAAAGATATAAATATTTATCCTTTTTTCTAAGAATAAGTTTTCTAACAAGTTTGTATGAACCAGCTTTACTCATGCAGCCAAAACAATTTTGTGTGTGTAATTTGAGAAATAAGACTGAGTATATTTACTTGTCTCATGGTCATTCTGCAGAAAACAACAAGATGATGCAACTTTTTGCACATATCACAATAAATAGAATGTTCCTTTTTACAAGGGGGAACAGGTTTTGGTAACAGGGTTGTGCACAAAATGTGAGGTTAAAATCTTTTTTTTTTTTGTTAAATTAAATAAATTAATGGAGAAAATATTTCTTTCAACATTAAATTGCTTGGAAATGAACCAAATAACATTGTAATTATTATGTTACTGGAAAATATTAATTAATATATTTCACATATTTCATAATCCAATGTCAGTGAGGTTGGACAGCCCAAAATCATCATATTAAAGCTGAATACACTTTACGTGGGTCATGTAAATTCAAATTTTAATAATGTTATTTCAAGTTAAAGTTCAGACCCCTTTACTTTTCACAGGAATAAAAAAAAACCTCACAAAAGTCACTTTATTGCTTTTAAAAAGGTAATGGGACATAAATTGAACTCTATTCATGGAAAGTTCCAAGGAAAAAGTTTGTCATATGAATAACTTTTCAGTGTTCAGTATATGACCTATTTGTCGTGCCTAAGTGCTACCCTTTCGGTATAAACTGAGCGGTTCTAATCTTAAGTAAAACTTGCATAAGCATTGCCCTTTCCAATCACAAGGCTGATGTATGTGTTCCCCATGGACTCTCTCTATCCGAGTCAGATAAACTTAGCAAGAAAAGCTAATGACCAAGCTAAAGCTAACCTAGCATGCATAACTGAACTATCAAGCTAGCAAGTAAGTTCTGACTATCTCCAAGTCTAAAGATTGCTTTTTTTCATTTGTTAGTTACAAGGCAAATTTACCTGACATGCATGCCTAAATCATATTACACCTGCCTAAAACTGTATCGAGTGGTTAGGTATTGGTGCAAAGACAATTGCTTCTATGGTTTCTGACACTGAATGTCTTTCTGCTACACATATATAAAAATGGACAAAAATTTGTTGCATAGCAAAAACATGCAGCAAACTTACAGCCCCATTTTGAAAAAAGTTGGGACGCTGTGCAAAATGTAAATAAAAACAATTTTTGCGTTTTGAATTTGATGCCAACATCACGTTCCAAAAAAGTTGGGACTGGGGCAACGAAAGGCCCAAAAGGCAACAAAAGTTGAGTAATGCTAAATAAAACACCTGGTGTTTAATTGGCAACAGGTCAGTAACATGACTGTGTATGTAAAGAGCATCCCAGAGAGGCTGAGTCTTTCAGAAGTAAAGATATGGATGGGTTCATCACTCTGTGAAAGACTCCATGATCAAATAGTGCAACAATTGAAGAATAACGTTTCTCAATGTAAAATAGCAAAGGACTTTTGCTTTTCATCATCTACGTTACATAATAACATTAAAAGATTCAGAGAATTTGGAGAAATCTCTGTATGCAACAGACAAGGCCAAAAAACAGTATTTGCTGGCCGTAATCTTTGGGCCCTCAGGCGGCACTGCATTAAAAGAAGAAATGATTCTCTAGTGGAAATCACTACATGGGCTCAGGTACACTTCTGAAAAATATTGTCTGTGAACGCAGTTTGTCGCTCCATCCACAAATGCAAGTTAAAACTCTAAAATGCAAAGAAGAATTCATATATAAACAGGATCCAGAAATGCCACCACCTTCTCTGGGCCCAAGCTCATTTAAAATGGACTGAGGTGAAGGGGAAAAGTGTCCTGTGGTCCAACAAATCAACATCTGAAATTGTTGGAAATCATGGACACTCTCCAAACTAAAGACCACTCAGCTTGTTGTCAGTGCACAGTTCAAAAGCCAGTATCCATGATGGTATAGGGGTGCATTAGTACACATGGCATGGGTGACATGCACATCTGTGAAGGCACCATTAATGCTGAGCAATATATACATGTTTTGGCAACATATGCTGCCATCCAGATGATGTCTTTTTCAGGGAAGGCCTTGCTTATTTCAGGCATTGCCAGACCACATTCTGCATGCATTACAACAGCATTGCTCCATATTAAAAGAGTCCAGGTGCTAAACTGGCCTGTCTGCAGTCCAGACCTGTTACCCACTGATAACATTTGGAGGGTTATGAAATGAAAATACAACAAATGAGCCCCCGAACTGTTGAGCAGCTGAAATCCTATATGAAACAAGCTCACTTTTTCAAAACTACAGCAATTGGTCTCCTCAGTTCCCAAACGCTTACAGAGTGTTGTTAAAAGAAGAGGTGATGAAACACAATGGTAAAGATGCCCCTGTCCCAATTTTTGCGGAACATGTTGTTGGCATCAAATTCAAAATGGGCACATATTTTTCAAAAAACAATAAAATTTCTCAGTTTCAACGTTTGATATGTTGTCTTTGTAGTATTTTTATTTAAATGTATTTATTTGGTTTACATGATTTGCATATCATTGCATTCTATTTTTATTTACATTCTGCATAGCATCCTAACTTTTTTGGAAATGGGGTTATAAATACTGAATTAAATATATTTCTTTAACTTTATTGTCTTGATCAGATGCCAGACTGATGTGGATGAATGCCTGCGTCTGCCTTGCTTAAATGGTGGCTGGTGTGTAAACACCTATGGCTCCTTCAACTGCAGTTGCAGTCCGGGCTTCAGCGGGAGGCTGTGTGAGATGGAGAATGAGGTCCACAATGTGTTTATCTCCACTTCTTGGAACATCGGCCTGGCTGAGCTGGTGGGGATTCTCATTTTTTTGGTGGCCATCTTTATTTTGGCCTTGCTCTTTGTCCTCATCCGTGCAGGAGCATGTGATCTTAGTAAGGACGAGCAAGAGAAAGAAAAATACAGAGCTGTAGATGCTTACATCCAGAGGACATATCTGGACTGCCAGCCCCGCAGGGACACTTTTCCGGATACTCCATCACAGATCCCTGTGAAACCCCTCTCTTATAATCCCAGCATCCATACAGACTCCCATAAGGACATAGATGGAAGCTCCTTTACTCCAGATGTGACGTTTGGCCTAAAAAAGTCTGTCGCTGTATGCAGTGTAGCACCCAACCTGCCCCAGCGCCGAGGCTCATGGTCCCCTACAAACAGTGACTCCACACAAAAGCCAGACTGGGATGAAGAAGGTGGTAAGCCAACGTTGATTCAGGCCAAAACAGCAAAAATTAACTTATTTTGCTAAGTAAAGGGGAATTCCACATATTTTTCGAAATTTCTTTATAATCCAGTGGTCGAGACACATTCAGAGTGGTTTAATATGAAATGTTTCATTGTAGAGAAGTTTACTGACTCAGATTTCTGTACAGTGGTGGTGATAGAAACCAGGGGTCACAGTGTCTACAACACAAACATAGACATTTTATTTACTATCAAAAACCACCAGTGAACCGGCACGTGTCTTCTGAGTTTTTGTATTTAATGTTGATGATAGTAAAATAGTGGTAAATCTGGAAAAAAAAGTTTTATTTTTGACTAAATCTTATTTTAGGTCAAAATCGTTTCACAAAATTATCATAAAACAGTGTCTCAGGCATCAGGCAGCATATAACCATTTTGTGTAATAACTTTCTGTGAGGAAGCTTTTCGAGGCATTTAACTCTTCAGATGTCTGGTTCCCATCACCACTACTGTAAAACTGTAATTTAGTAAGAGTCTCTAGAACAGAACATTTCACATCAAACCACTCTGAATAACTTTGTTTATATCTTAACCATTTTATTTTGCAGAAATAAAAAAAAAATGATGGAATTGCCCTTTAGGCCTTTAACCTTCATGGACAGCCACAATCGTACAATCCTACACAAAAAAACAATGCAAAGTTATTATCAACTATTTTTAAGTTATAAAATGTAAGTAATAGAAGCAGTTAGTGTTGTGTAGTGGGCATCACCACCACCCAACACATGATGAACTGAGGTTTGATTCCCTGGTCAAGCACGCCATGCTTTACCAATAAGAGTCCTTGGGCAAGACTCCTAACGCTGCATTTGCCTACCTCTGTAACACCTCAGTGTTAAGTTGCCCTAGATAAGGGAATTCGTCAAATAACATAAAGGTAAAAAGTAAGTCTACATTCTTTGGTGAGTCTGTGAACGTTTACTAAGTTATTAAAAAAGACTAATATTAATGCTCTCAGTTCTAAACTTTTTCTTTTCTTTTCCAGAAAATGCAAGGGACACAAACTCGTCCTTGTCAAAAGAAGACACGGCCAACGAAAGAGGAAGTACCCAAGGCCTTGCTTATTCTTTCCAATATATGGATGATAACAGTAAGTAGCCTCTTAGTTCTTTTGTTTACACTCACAGACTGTTTTTTTAATAATGATTTGAATAGAGAAGAAAATCTAACCAGTGATGCTTAGTGTGAGAAATAAAAATGGTTCTGTGTAAGTGAAAACTTTTACAAGACTGCAGTTCAGAGGAATTATTGTAAGATAAATTTTTTGCTCTCTTGGTGATCACTTCAGCTCCCATATGGATTAAATCTGGGCACAAGCCCAGATCACACTCAGACAAGGGCCGAATGTAAGTGTGATTTATAGACATGAGAAAAAAAAGTGGCGAAAAGGTTTCGGAGATTCGTGCCATAAAGATCGTCTAGTTAAATAGTCCGTAATGTGTGTATGAGATTTGTGACCTCGTGACCTCAATGATGTGATCAAGTCACTTTAATAATTTGTTAGTGCCATGTGTAAGAGAAGTCCTTCCCTTTGTCTTGTGCTCTGTAGAGCTGTTCATGTGCACAGTCCTTGTTTAAATGTTTTAAATATATAGAAGCAACTTTGGTCCCTTACAGTAGCTTTCTTTTTATTAGGGATGCACCAATACCTCTTTTTTCCTTCCAGTACTGATACTTGATGATCAAGTATCTGCCAAAACTGAGTACTGATACCAATACTCTGACTACTCGATAGGTGCCTAGAAATACAGATATTTTTGAAAATATTTTATTTTAGTAAAATCAGTGTTCAGTGTTCACAAACAAAAAACACTCAGCTTGAATTAACGGCATTGGGAAATAAACTGAAGTGGAAGCAGCAAATGTTATTGCTGCTAGTACGTCCCCTCAGAATACTGTTACAGATGTTTGCAGATCATTGCCAATACGGTATTGGTGCAACACTGCTTGTTCTAGCAATTTAGTAGCAATGCCATGTGTATTTTAACAGCACAACAATTTATTGACTCATCATATCCATTTTGTACACAACAGTCTGTTTTTTCTGTTGTTGTTAATAAAACATTCATTCTAATTTCTTCGTTTCTTACTTTTACAAGCTTCCACAAGGATGGACTTTGTTAATAAGTAGGTTGAGAAGTTATTCATTTCATATGATGGGTAGTGCATTAGGCATAAACATAAAAAGTGTGTTTCCTGGCTTTGCCTGTTTGTAAGTGGTTTCAAATCCTGCATTGTAAACACTGTAAAAAAGGAATCTTTTTTCCTACCTTTTCCTTGCTCTCCGTCAAAAGACTATCATGAGGCTTGTGACCTCCAGAATCCCAGAGGTGATTTCTGCACGAGTTCTAATTTCCTTGCATGCTTCATTGGCTTAGCACAGCAAGCTCACTAAGCCTTGACAACAAAAATTAAATGGTTCCTTGTGAATGAACTCCATTGTTCCACATTCTAACTACCTCAGACCCCAAGAGTGCCTTGATGTCTAAACATGGGATTTAACAAGATTTTAAAAGTCATTGCATGGAAATGTCAGAGCAGTCTCCATAGTCCATAGGCAATAAGCCCTAACTATCAAGACCCCATTGGTTTTCTTAAACATCTATTAAGTTATTTATCAAATTTTTCAAGAATATTTATGTCTTTTTTGTTTACCCCTTAACAATCCAGAAATATTACATACTAAGCTTTATTACTCAGTAGCTACAGGGACTTTAATGCAGACCAATGGAGCTATTGTTAGGTTATAGAAGTGTGTAATAAAAATTTGGGCCCGCGGATGGAGCCATGGCTTGTTTACAGGTTAAAACAATGCATTCTTTTGCTTGAATCATTTTAACTTTGCATGCATATCTTAACTACTGGTTAACTAATCCTAACTGATGAAGTTCACAATATCATGTTTCAATGTTCATTGCATATTACTTGTTTCATAGTGTGATATTTTGCCTTAATTCTGTGTCAAACGTTTTAACAGACTACCACTGGGACACCTCAGACTGGATGCATGGTGTTCAGGTTCCTGGATTTCAGAGCCTCCTTCAGTATGAATTTGTGCAAATGCCCTCCATGTACTCTGACATTAATGACGTGTACTCTAGAACTCATGTTCCTGATTTGGATTACCTTGCTGAAGGTGATGATGTTGAAGCCAACTTTCTACCACCTCCAGGACATTTTCCTCATGATGAGCCTCTTTCCAGTCTAGACTGCAGGGACTAATCCGCCTGGCCACAGGCCCACACAGCCATCGCTCGGACACCAGGGCCGTGCTTGACCACATGCAGCCTGCAGCAGCACAGCCTGGGTCATTGGCAGCCTAATCAAACAGCCCAAGTAGTGCCTCAGGGTTCAGTTGAAGGACCATTTGAACTTAGGCCAGGCAGTATTTACTCTGGAAGTGCCAGGCAAGAGGGCCAGGGCACATTTCCCGGTTTGTTGCATACCTTCGCTCACCTGTCAAATAATGGTGAGGAACTGGATCCAGTGATGTGTGACTTAAAGAGTTTTGACCAGAGTGTTTCCAGTGGCATCTCAACACCAATGATGAAGAAAGACGTTGCACACAAAAGGCTATAATGTGCTTAGTGTGTATGGTTTTGTGTGTGCTCAAATGTGTTCGTAGTCTCTCTCTATTTTTTACTTCTAATACGTTCAGAGAAATAATGAGTTATTGGATTGGTCAGTGCAGGCTATGGATAACATGCTGTTGTCTTTGTGTTTAGATGGAAAATTACATCCACAATGTGCCATTTTCGTGACTACTTTTTTGGAAGAAGTAAAGCATACATCAAAAATGAATGTAAAATTATTGTAAGATTGTAAATGTTTGCTGAAGTCATGTGAAAAGTGTTTCATTTGTGCAGAGTAAATTAAGATTATCCATTTGCTTATATTTAGTTATTACTTAGCACTTTCTTACACAAGAGGCGATTTCTTATTGCCAATAAATAGTTGATATAAATTGTCCTATTTTTTGACTCACAAGCCAAATGTTTTGATAATACTAGGGGTGCCAAAACGAGGGATATATCTGTTCAATTTAAGCTAAACAGATTGAAGGGAAAGAAGTATTCGGGCACTCTTGTTCCTGTTATTTCATATACTTCCAGTGCATATATCCACTTCAAATTTACACACATAATGTCTTTAGACTTCATAGTTGTAAATATTAACAAAAATATGTATTCATACACATAAACAATCTCACCATGTTACATCTCACCAGAGTACACAGTTCCAAAACAGCTCTGATTGTGTGGAAATTTTAGATCTCTATATAAACTATATTAAATAACAAAAATAAAAGTGTCTGAATACTTTTCCTCCCTCATTGTGTACCTATACACACGTATAGTTTAAGATGATGTACTGTAATCTCCAGTGTCTTTTGTCTGGTATTAGAACCTTTGAGAAAAGTGTACTACTCGATCTTATCAGATATATGCTGTTAGAAGCTTTCTTGGTGTTTTTAAGGGTGTGGGTCAGAATGAATAATACCAGAAGTCCCCTGAGAACAATTAATACACATATCAGACAGCAGATAGAGCTGTCTCCAGCTCTGATTCAGACTTTCCTTCAAAGTTTGGCCACTTCTGTTTGGGTACTTGATCAAACAGTCTTATTAGGGCTGTTTGGATTTTTGTGAAATTCTATGCTCACTAAGCTTGGTGAGCAATGTTTATTATCAGACATCCTCAATAGGGCCATTAGAGAGATTACTACTGGAGGATAATTTCTGACAAGTAGACCCTTTAATTTCAAGGAAAAACACATGAAAGTACTTGTGCACTTTCATAACTTCGCCGTCGCGCTGTGTATAGCCCTTTCAAGTACGTTCTCTTTATGAAATGGAGACAGCATCGCAGAAAACCCCAGGCAGATGTTGTACCTTTCTACTCAGTTAATTAAAGGAGTAGTCTGAGCAGAGAACGCACTGACTGACTGCCATATTGACAAACAGCCCTCATTAAAAATAATGCCAGTGTAATGGGGTGTGTGTGCATGTATGTGTATATGACCTGCTCTTTTGTTTTGTGCTTATTAGAGACATCATTTCACCCATGATTCTGTTTTCATAAAACAGTTTTAATGGAAAAACATATCCATAAAATGAACAAATTGCTTTTGTAATTTCATGTTTTATGACTGGTGTTCATTTGAAGGTGACAGGCTGCTTCATGTCAGGCAAAGGTCTCAGGCCTGTATTTAAAAACAAGCCTGTTCATTTTAATAATGAACTTATATGTTCATACTAAGGGATCATCTGGGTGTCGAGGGCTCAGGGGAATGAAGAAGATTGGCAGAATAATAAAGGACATGGCACAGCAAATAATATTGTGCACAAACAAGCATGATTAGACACAAGGGGGCAGTATACTCTTATAATAGTAAATAAACTCTGAATGTACTGCTGTCACTGGTTATGACTTCTACCTAATTAGTAAATACGAATAATAGTAATATATTTCACCTGAAACATATTGGATCATTTGCTCTATTACATATCTTTGATGAGTGAAGAATTATGAGGTGTTCAATGTGGCAACATGTAATTCTACTATAAAGTAATGAATACATCACTACTATGGCTGCTTCCACTTTCAGTTCTATGCATTGAAATCAGGGTGAGAGATTAAGAAAATGCCCTTGGTGTTAGCCCCGGTTTGCAGGACGACACTTGGACGAGTCTTACAAATCGCAGGGCGAGCCAGTGACAGCACTTAAATGCTTTGACATGTTTTGACAGTGGCCCAGGGGAGGGGAGAGGATGGGTGTGTGTAACACAATGTGACAGGATGTCGCTGTGTCATCTTATGGGGGGGGGGAGGTTGGTCAGGCTCCTTTAGCACCCAGACTTCTCCTAATGCACACCTCACTGCTTTAGCAGGCCTCGGAGAGACAGCAAGGCCATCATGCAGGGCCATCTATCAAACAGGCAAGCACAGCGCTCAATCATTCACTCTACAAAAGGTGCAGACGTGAATTTTGTGTGCCCTCACAATAATCTGGGCTGGCATTCAAAACTTATGGAATAAGGGGACATGAAAGCAAATGAAGACATGAGCAGGAGTGGGTTTCTAGATTCATGGTGCAATTTAAAGGAATAGTTTTGCAAAAATTAATTCGAACAACAGTTAACTTGGTGTAATTTAACAGTTAACTTGGTGTAGTTAATCAGCTGAGACTTGTTTGATGTCTGAAGTTTCTTTCTTTACTTTCACACTGAAGCCACAAGGCTAACAAGTAATGAAAGCTTGTAACACAACAACCCAGATAGCAGACGGTTTTGGGCCAATTTTGGCTGTCCTACGTGAGTGGTGGTTGACTAACAGTCAGATGTTAGGCAAGCAGGCCAGAATAGGACCAGATACCTGACATATCATATGCTTTTGTCTCGTGTCTATATTTGTGGGCCAATTCTGGTTTGAGTGTTGTGGATTAACAATAAAGCTGGGCCAGATTTGAGCCATATTCATTAGTTCTACTCACTTTACAGAGTGTGGGCAAGATCTGGGCCAAAAACCCAGCCATATACAAGGCAAGAAGAAACCCAAGGATATGGCCCACATAAGGGCCAGACAAATTATGCTAATTGAGAATAAGCATCATGTTAACTGCATTCCTAAATCATCATACACTAGCCTCAAACTGTGCTGAGTTGTTAAGTAATCTCAAATAGATTTGCTTATGTGGTTTCAGACACTGTACGACATACTGTTATCAATAAAAATGGGCAAAAGAATACCCCATAGCCTAAAATACGTCTGTATCAGCATACCGGTGAGCGTTGTATACAGATGTGAACGTGTACACAGGAGACACAGGGGACATTCCAAACCAGAGTGTGCAGAAAACTAACAGGAAAGTCATGCATTTTTCATCTCTCTCCAAGAATGAATACTTACTTCACAGTTTTTGTAGTATTTTCAGGAAAATGTTTGTATGGTCATGCAACTTCTGCCAGCTGATCCTCAAACTGCTCCATTTTATTTTGTACTAGTTCAGGTTTGTGACTTATCCCAGCCCCAGTGCTACCATAGAGCCAATCAGTGTTGGTTTGATGCACAGCTCCACAGATTAGCCCGATGAATGGCTGAGATTTTGGAGGTGTGCATGTTGTGGCCTCTGCAAGCCTCTGTGTGCTATGCTTAATCATTAATCTGTTCTCTGCATCTCGACGAGGCCTTTAGGCATGCATGTTTGCACAATGCTAACTGGTTAGGTTCCATCAGCTTCCATTACTTGTTAGCCACATAAGCATCCACTACTTGCTAGCTGCAAAACTGTATTGCAAAACTAAAGAAGCAAACTTCACTAAACTTTTTGGTCTTGTTGATTCAGTTTCTGCTGAGGAAGTTTTTCTATCAAGTCATTGCTTTAAAGGGGAATTCCACTATTTTTTTTCAACATAGTAATTCAGATTGTTTCAATGTGACATGGTACATTGTAGAGAAACTGATACTGATTACTGATTCAGATTTCTTTACAGTGGTGGTGATAGGATCACAACACAAGTATAACCATTTCATTCCCTATCTAAAATGACAAGTGAACCTACATGTGTCTTCTGAGCTTTTTATGCAATGTTCAAAACAGCAGTATAGTGCAAAAGTTTTCTTTGTGGACTGTTTTACCTTACAACACCCTGCAAATACCTCTCTGCCAGCTAATTTTAGACCAAGACCTTATTTCAAAACTGTTGTAAAAATGTTTCAGGTATCAGGCAGTGTATTCGTAATCATTACAAGGGATAACTTTCTGTGAGGGAGCTTTGAGAGGTCTCAAACACTTCTGATGCCTGGCTCCTATCACCACCACTGTGAACATTTCTGACTTTGACTGGTAAGTTTCTATATTAATTAATTATATCTAGTTAATTATGCAGAAAGAAGATTGATGGGATTTTTAAGGGCAAGAGTGTATAAATCAGGCTATGACTGGTTTAGACCCCTTTTTTCACATTTACGTCATGACCAGACTTGAGAACTCACGATTCAAGCCGATCATTCCTACCTAGAAAACAGCTTTTCTATACACTATAAATATTATTTGTAAAGAATGAATAGCAGTATTTGACTTTCATGATGTGGGCCGTAATTCACACTTTTTCATGAACGCTTTCATCAACTGTTTGGAAAATGTCACCTCAAATGTCACATAGCTGATCTTGGGATCTGTGCTACAACTCCAATGGACACCTCCCTCCTACCCCTCCGACACACAGAGTTCAATTAAACATGTTAATGAAGAGACCAGGTGGTAATAGCGCTGTTTAGCTCAACTAATTGTTCCGAGCAGTCTCCTCACACCTGTCCTCTACAGAGGGTGATAAAGCAATAAAATGCACAGTGTCCCTGCATGATCTCTGCATGAGTCATTATAACAGTTGCCTGTCACTTAAGTGATTTTTGAAGCTTGCCGGTTCTTATAAGTAAAACTCTTCCAAGCAGTCACATGTCATAGAAAGAAAGATAGATGGGTAGATAAATAAATAAATGTGCAGCCTTCCAGCTGTGAATGGTTATTGTGCACTCGCCATTCAGCCGTGTCCACTGTTATTTGCCACCCAGAATAAATACGGTAAACAAGACGTCCACGTTTT